TTCTCTGACAGATTCTGGCAGTAGCAATGAAAGTCTGAGGTAATGACATAATGCTGTAATGGTCTTGTCTTGTCCTGAGGTGTTTTTCTAGTGAAATCAGCTCTCATTAAACCCAGCACCAGTTAATGTGTCACCGCTAATGGCCATTCATTCATCCAATATTCATTTTTTGAATGAACTGCAAGTTTTGGCAGCTGCAATTTTCAAAGATCATTACCGGGAGCCTTTGAAGGGGCACGGTACACTGCGGTGCCATAGATCAAGCTGTCTGGAGGATTTGTTATTTCAGTCTAACAAATGAGTTGGCATTTGGCATGGAAGTCAGGGATGAAATTACTACTTTATCCAGTCATTAATTTATCTCGTTTTACTCGCCTCAGTCATTGAGCACTTTCCAATGGTCTGGGAATCTCAAGGAATCAACAAAACAATAAACTACACTTTTCATTTCATTTGTTCTGTAAAATAGAAAATGCGCCCTTTTTCAGGTTCTAGTATTTTTGTCAATCATTCACATTCACTCAATCATATTTTGGCTTTCTGGCTTTATTGTAGTATACAATATGTACAATAATAACTTATATATACAGTTATGGTGTGAAATGTACTGTATCTGAATGTGGCTCTCATGTCTTAATAAAAAAGGTACATTTTTTTACATTGGCATCTGTACATTACACATGCTAAAGCCAGATTTGGTCTCGGAACAGAAGATCTCAACAAACCAGGATCCAGAGAGAGACCAGAAGGAGATCAGAGGGAGACCAGAGAAAACATAGAGAGACCAGAGAGAACATAGAGAGACAAGAGAGAGTCAAGAGAGAGACCAAAGAGAGTCAAGAGAGAAACCAAAGAGAGACCAGAGAGAACATAGAGAGAGCATGCGCAGAGAGAGACAAGAGAGAGACCAAAGAGAGTCAAGAGAGAAACCAAAGAGAGACCAGAGAGAGCATAGGGAGACCAGAGAGAGTCAAGAGAGAGACCAGAAAGAGCATAGTGAGAGCAGAGAGAGACCAAAGAGAACATAGAGAGACCAGAGAGAACATAGGGAGAGCATGCACAGAGAGAGACCAGAGAGAGACCAGAGAGAGGCCAGAGAGAGACCAGAGAGAGACAAGAGAGACCAAAGAGAGACCAGAGAGAGTCAAGAGAGAGTCAAGAGAGAGTCAAGAGAGAGAGACCAGAGAGAGCTAAGAGAGAGTCAAGAGAGAGACCAAAGAGAGACCAAAGAGAACATAGAGAGACCAGAGAGAACATAGGGAGAACATGCACAGAGAGAGACCAGAGAGAGACCAGAGAGAGGCCAGAGAGAGACAAGAGAGACCAAAGAGAGACCAGAGAGAGTCAAGAGAGAGTCAAGAGAGAGAGTCAAGAGCGAGTCAAGAGAGAGTCAAGAGAGAGACCAAAGAGAGACCAAAGAGAGACCAGAGAGAGTCAAGAGAGAGACCAAAGAGAGACCAAAGAGAGCAAAGGGAGAGCAGAGAGAGACCAGAAAGAACATAGGGAGAGCAGAGAGAGACCAAAGAGAGAGCAGAGAGAGGCCAGAAAGAGACCAGAAGGAAATCAGAGGGAGACCAGAGAGAGAGCAGAGAGACCATGTACATTACACATATTAATGCCAGATTTGGTCTCGTTACAGGAGATCTCAACAAATGAGTATCCATGGACTAAAAAAAAAAAATCAGTCCACAAATCACATTTTTTACAATAATCTCAAATAATAACATGAAGTGGGAAGTATACCTGTTTTGAGTTGGTCTGAGTCAGGACCACACCACTTGCGCTTTCCGTGGTGAGTGTTTTATTTGCTTTGACAAAGGATCTTAGAAAAGACACCCACGCTGTATAAGCAATGCATATTATTCATTTCAGAGACTGGAGTCCTGCCCCAGAAAACATTAGAGAAAGGACTTGGCAGCAGGCGCTCTGTTTGATATTCAGCGGAGCAGTCATGGGACATTATGTGGACTACAGCAGGCACCAGATATAGATCAGCCCCGTTCAAAGCCGAGAGATCAAAAGATACCTCGGCATTTTGAGTTAAAGTTCGGAAACCGTGATAAATCTTGACAATCGCTTTAAATATATGTAAAAAATAATGCTTATCAGTCCCCACGGGTCCACAGTCCTTCCTCAGGGTTCACAACATAAACAACCGCACTTTTTTTTAACCAGTTTTGTGAATTTTTGCATGACAGAAACAACCAGAAAACATATGAAAATGTGGTCAAATAATTGGTCATTTAAATAATATTTTTGATTGATCTTGATGGGATGATTTAGTCCTGATGTAGCAGCAAATGTGGTTTTGTGGAGTTTTGTGAATGTCCTCCAGTGATCCGTGCGTCCGTCCCCAACTAAAAGTCCGTCCCCAATAAAAGTGAAACTCAAAAAAATTGAATATTGTTCAAAAGTGTATGTATTACTTAACTCAAGATGTGACGACAAGTTGCTTGTTGGTTCTGTGACTGTGTGGTTTGGTGACATCACAACCAAAGAAAGGAGAGGCCAGAGAGAGGACTGTGAGCTGTGAGACCAGAGAGAGAACATAGGGAGAGCAGAGAGAGACCAGAGAGAGACCAGAGAGAGACCAGAGAGAGATCAGAGAGAGATCAGAGATAGACCAGAGAGAGGCCAGAGAGAGACCAGAGAGAGGCCAGAGAGAGACCAGAGAGAGGCCAGAGAGAGATCAGAGAGAGACCAGAGAGAGACCAGAGAGAGATCAGAGAGAGAGACCAGAGAGAGATCAGAGAGAGAGACCAGAGAGAGACCAGAGAGAGGCCAGAGAGAGACCAGAGAGAGACCAGAGAGAGACCAGAGAGAGACCAGAGAGAGGCCAGAGAGAGACCAGAGAGAGACCAGAGAGAGGCCAGAGAGAGGCCAGAGAGAGGCCAGAGAGAGACCAGAGAGAGACCAGAGAGAGACCAGAGAGAGGCCAGAGAAAGGCCAGAGAGAGACCAGAGAGAGACCAGAGAGAGACCAGAGAGAGACCAGAGAGAGACCAGAGAGAGGCCAGAGAGAGACCAGAGAGAGGCCAGAGAGAGACCAGAGAGAGACCAGAGAGAGACCAGAGAGAGACCAGAGAGAGGCCAGAGAGAGGCCAGAGAGAGGCCAGAGAGAGACCAGAGAGAGACCAGAGAGAGATCAGAGAGAGACCAGAGAGAGGCCAGAGAGAGGCCAGAGAGAGGCCAGAGAGAGGCCAGAGAGAGACCAGAGAGAGGCCAGAAAGAGGCCAGAGAGAGACCAGAGAGAGACCAGAGAGAGAGACCAGAGAGACCAGAGAGAGATCAGAAAGAGACCAGAGAGAGACCAGAGAGAGCATAGAGGGACCAGAGAGAGGACTGTTCTGTCTGTTATGGAGATTCTTTATGAATCCAGACTCTTAAATCAAGCTCTATCAATTCCAGAGAACTTTAAATGATCTTACTCTTGTATTGAAACTGTTTTAGTTGATTTAGTTTTGTTTATTTTCTTTCTGTACTTTTAACCTTGTTTTTTCATGTCCTTGTCTTGTGCACTCTGGGGACTTTCGCAAAGGTATTCCAATGTGGTTTTACTGCAAATGGCAAATCAAATGAATGTGAACAAATCTTTTGCAAATGGCAGAATATTTAATCCAGTTTATACCTCTATACATATTACCAATCCATGTATAAAGCATTGTTACTTTCATCACTTACTAATACTTACTATTAATATAACACTTACTATATTGTTATTGTGCGCAGTAGCCCCCATGTACCAGCCAAACCCACCAGGCAGTTTCTTGTATCTTTTTAAAGCTGGGGTTTACTACGTTTCCACTGGGCTTTTGGTAAGTGCTCCTAAATGCTTAATTGGGTGCTGGAAATCACAGGCACTTTGCACCATCTCTGTAAACCACAACACTTCAGACTATTAGGGGCCCGGGGCCGCCACACGCCTAATAATTAGGACTGGCGGCACGGACCAGACCGCAGTTTCTGGTGAGAGGGGGAAGTGAAGGAAACAGGAGGTGATGAGTTTGAGGACAGAGGTAGGATTACTGTTGCAGCTTTATTGAAAGGAGCAGGCAGGTTTGGTTGAGCCGGGCTTTAGATGAATGAATTATCAAATGACGTGGATTTGGTAACTTAACGCTGAGGTTCTTATAACTTGTAACAATGCAGTCTTCATCTTAGTAGAAAACATGTTATTTTTCATATACTTATAGAGCCCTGTGAGTTACTATCAGACGCCGGACTCAGAGCTGATTGGTTGAGTCGTGGCAAAATGCATCTACAACGTGTTTTTGGAACCCTTCGATCGAAATATTGAAACAACAATAAAGAAATCCATGATAATTTGCCTAAACACGTCTGGCCTTAACTGTTGGAAGTTCAAGATTTGTATTAAAAGCAAAACTAACGAGAGAGAAAGAAAGAGGGTTGTAGAATATATTGTAAAAATATATATTTATCGTTATTGCAATGATATTGATGCAGAAATGAATGTATGCATAAATTACGTGTTTTTTTTTCATGTGTAAGATTTGCCATTGGCTGCCAGAGCGACAGACTCTGGGAAAGCACAAAACACAACATGGCGCAGACACCGGTATCGTATATTGCACTTTTTCCAACATCGTGCAGCCCTAAAGAAACTAAACAGAAATGTATATGAATGTTAATACGGCACTTGCTGCGTTGCCGTCATTTCCATTCATTCTGACACAATCTTAATATCAAGTATACCTTCAAAACAACGATTGCAAAATACATGTTTTTCTATATATTGCCCGACGATTGAAATGTCAAGAGGAAAACCATTTCATCAGAATCCTCTTATATTGTTGTACTGCTCACTGTGGTAAAAGCTTATTCTAGGGTCTTTGGTTTGAGCTTCATCGTTTGATCTTGCATTTCTCGTATCTGAGTTTATGCCGTTCTTCATGTGCAGTAAAGTCACATGCAGAAAGGCCCAGTCTCTGCTGACGGTCTTCATCGTCTCCGCAGTCATACAAGTCTGGTCTTTTGTCACACTCAGACGCTAGCGCAGCGTTGGGAGGGCGAGGAGCAGGAGGAGGGGCAGACCAGCTGACCGTGGAAGCTCCTGCCGTTCGACGTGAGCTCGTTGCTGCCCACGACGTCGGCGCACAAAGACTCCACGGCGTCCAGCCTCTCGATCTGCACCAGGCGGGTCAGCAGGTCAGGGATGCTGTAGCCCGCCGTGCTCACTCGCTCAAACAGCTGCAGTCCGTCGCTCATGCCGCCGATCTCGTCCCGCTTGAGGCCGAAGCTTTCCGCCAGATGTCTCCACGTTTTGACGACGGCCGCCTCGCTGCTGTAGGAGGAGCTCAGCATGCGGCTCGCCTTCTCCAGACAGTCGAACGGCAGCTCAGTGGGGCTCAGGCCTGCACCGGGACAAGAAGCATGCATAGTTACATATGGTGTGCTTTCCTATGGTTACATTCATAGCATTGATCGTTGTTTTTTCCAGTCAGACAACCGTCAATCTGTCAAAAAACCTACCACTCTGCATCACTCACCTTTCTTGCATTAAACTAAAGATAAATCTGTAAATTCCTCTTCTCTTCTCTGGAACAACCGCAATCACACAAACATAGGATAGTGTTTTTATCTTTGTATTCTATCTATGTTTGTATGATTGTATGATTGTATGATTGTATGATTGCAAGTGACCAATGCACAATTTCCTTTTGGATCAATAAAGAATATATCTATCAATCTAACTATTAACCAAACAGTATTACTGGAGAAAAGCTCAAATTAAAAGTATATGGAAAACTGAAAGAGCTGCATGATTACAACAAACTTTCTTCTAAATCACAATGAGGCTAGCCTGGTTGTACCACACCATAGTACAAATTACATTTTGATCGTAATATTGAAACAACAATAAAGAAATCCATGATATTTTGCCTAAACACAACTGGCCTTAACTGTTGGAAGTTCAAGATTTGTATTAAAAGCAAAACTAACAAGAGAGAAAGAAAGAGAGTTGTAGAATATATTGTAAAAACATATATATCGTATTGCAATGATATTGATGCAGAAATGAATGTATGCATAAATTAAGTGTTTTTTTTCATGTGTAAGATTTGCCATTGGCTGCCAGAGCGACAGACTCTGGGAAAGCACAAAACACAACATGGCGCAGACACCGGTATCGTATATTGCACAGTACATTTGGTACTAAGGTCTGGAGGTGCTCCATCCCACTAAACATCCGACGTCCACTCAACCTCCAGATCACGTCAATATCGCGTCGGTCGGTCGTGACCTTTTATTCACGTCCAAACGACGTCTGTGCAAGGGGCGCATCTGGACGTAAAACAATGACCTCCCATATACGTGGATATGACGTCCAATCCTGACCTCCCCTAGACGTGGAAAACAGGTCATCGGCTGACCGACGCAGTACGTCTTGATCTAGCAATACAATATATAGGCTGTGAAGCAGTGGAAGTGTACCTGACGGTAGTGTAGTGGTTAAGCAAACGTGTGCAGTCTTGGTTACGTAAGTTCGAGCCTACGTGTGTGTATTATTATCTTTACATATTTGTTTTGATTTTTAGCGAACAATTTTTTTCTGTTTGGTTAAAGACTAATAAACACTCAACATAGGATTACGTAGTGGCTAATAATAAAACTTTTGAATGTATGCATTTGTTGTGCTAACAATCTCAAGTTTGCAAATAAGGGGTGAGCACTTGAGATTTTATGCAAATGCATAAGTTCACAAGTTTTATTAATAGCCACTACATAATCTTATGTTGAGTGTTTATTCGTTTTTAACCAAACAGAGAAAAATTGTTCGCTAAAAAGTGAAAAGTCAAAAATGTTCCGACGGGGATTTGAACATGCATCGTTGCGACCGAAGTCTCATTACGCAACCGCTACACCACGGCCAGGGATTTTTTTTTGACTACTGTGAAAAAATCATAGATAACACCCTAAACAACCGACGCACACTTATGCGAGGTTACAGCCTGACACGTGAGTCGCTCGGTCGAGGACCTGTTTTCCACGTCTAAACGACGTAAGGTGTGCATCTGGACGTAAAGCAATGCCTTCCCAGACGTTGATATGACGTTGAATCTGTACCTCTGTCGCTGCCCTGCTTTATTTACTTGGAATCACCCTCTCTAGTAAGTACACAGTCTGCACAGTTTTTAGATATAGATGTATCATTTCCACATTGAAAAGAGTTGGAGACAGAAAGTAAGTTGTTTTCTCACGTATACGTGGAATTTGTTAAGTATATTTTGTATATTATCTGTATTTTGAATTGCCAGTGCATGAATCTATAATAATAACGGCTGGCACTGCTCAGCTGAAAGGGAGACACCTTTTTTTTGTTTTTAAGTTAAAGTTTAAAATATGATATTGTTTTTCATATTTCAAACTATTTTTAACACATTAGAATTGTTAGGTTAGACTGTCCAACAAACTATGTGTTAAAAAAGGTTAAGATTCTTGAGTTTTAAAATAATAATTCAGTTCTAAAATGTAAAGTTACTGTATATTTCACAATGGTTTATAAACTGCAAAAAGACAACAGTACTTAGTAAGCTAAGTTTAAAAACAGGGAGATCAGCTTTAATATTTGGGACACTCCCATCATTTAGACACCTGTGATGTCATCAGTTGGAGTTGAGTTCAGGTGGAGTTGAGTTCAGGTGTGGGACCATGTGGGACCATGTGGGACCATAGGAGCACACAGATGTTACCTGCTGCAGAAAGAGAGTTTAATGTTCATGTATTGCTTTGTTTAATAAATGGATTTAATGTCTTCCCAGGTCTTCAATGTCAGAGACTTTCACTTCTTCTCACTGTGGCTGTTTAAATGAGCCACTACAGTTGTTATTTTTGTTATTGTTAGCTGCAAATATTAAATATCCATTCATCTGCTGGTAGCAAGCTAACTAGCGCTTGCAACTCTATTCAATTTCTTACTTTTTCTTATAAACTTTAAAACCAGCCATATGTTAATTAAAATACATTTACCTTTGCTAATGCAGTCAATTATTGTGAAATCCATAGAGTATAATTTCATGATTGTTGCAATAACTAATGTTATGTGTGTATTCCTAATGTGTCATGTGTGTTTGAGTCTTACAGGTGTCAGACTGTGTTGAAGGTGTTCAAAGGTAAGAATCACACTCTCACACATTGATTGTTGTTCTGTATTAATATGTTGTTTTTAGAATAAACCATTATTTGGTGTATTCTCTTTGAAAACATCTATCTTTTTCTCAGATTGTTCAGCAACTCACTCAAGATGAGGGAAAAGAGCAACAAGGGGAAAATGCCCCCTCGGAAATGCAACATGTGTAGAGTAATACAGGGTAAGTAGCTTTCAGGGCTCATTTGTCCATGTGCAAAACAAATGCACATTTGCAATTGTTTTTTACATGGAATTACTCCAATGACCAAAGCCTTATCCCAAGTTTTTCAGACGGAGTGTCTTCCAGTGTCTCGAGCTAGTGCAGTGCCAAGGTTTGTATCACATGGTGATGGATCGAGTGGTTTGAGGCATTAATAGAAAGTTATGTGTTGTTATATCACTTTGCCACATTATGTTGAAACTAAACATGTTCCACATTTTCAGGTGCTGTGCTTGGACCTTGTGATGAGAGACTGAAGACCAAGAGAGGACACATGTTGGAACATCAACATTCAATAAATGCATTCTTCTGCCTTTCAGATTGTGTTTTTACATCTGGGGAACCTAGAGTGTAGCTTGTGCCTGTTTTAATACTGATCCAAACATAGGTGCTACAATCATGTTTTTTTACTTTGGCATGAACTGTTCAGTACAGTAGTGTTCATAACACTGTGCCCTGTGTGCTTTAACTTGTACTTTGATGTAGAGAAACATGATTTTTAATGCAGCTCCAGTTGCAATAATGACTGATATCCTTCTACTACAGTTGTTCTAATGATTTTTGAATGCTGTGTTTATCGTTTATTGCCCAGAGTCAGAACTAAACATGATAAAGCTGCATTTCAGATTCCCAAGGCTAAAATCTGGAACGGCCTTCCTGGAAATGTGAGACAGGCTTCTTCTTTGACAATGTTAAAATCCAGGTTTAAAACACTTCTGTTTCTGCTTCAACTGAGAGATTTTATGAGAGATTGTATTTGTATCTTTTTAATTTACTGTCAATATTTATAATTGTAATGCCTTGTTTGATTGTTTCTATCTTTTGTTCAGTGCTTTGAGTTTCCTTTTGTTTTGACTGTGCTATACAAATAAACTTGCCTTGCCTATTGCAAAAAGTATGTCTCGACCAGTGAGTGATTCTGCAGAGGTTAAGTATGTCAATAGGACTGTAAATGGACGTCAATATTTTGGTCATATAAGACGTCGAGAGGACGTCGGACCCGACCGGTTCTGTACCACATTGCAACCTTGAATGAACGTGGCCTCGACGTCATTTGAACGTCCAGATAACGTCCAGATGACGTTGAAATTACATCTTTTTGACATCTGCTTGCTTAGTGGGAACAACGGAAAACGAACGTCATATAAACGTCAATATTTTGGTCATATAAGACGTCGAGAGGACGTCGGACCCGACCGGTTCTGTACAACATTCAAACCTTGAATGAACGTCCAGATGACGTTGAAATTACGTTGTTTTGACATCTGCTTGCTTAGTGGGAACGACTGAAAACGAACGTCATATAAACGTCAATATTTTGGTCATATGAGACGTGGATAGGACGTCAGACCCGACCGGTTCCGTACATCAAACCTTGAATTGACGTGCCATCAACGTCACATTTGGAGGTTGAAGTGACGTCGGGAAACGACGTCGAGAAAACTTTCATTCTGCACCGACACTGACTTGTCTTCTCCAAGTGAAGAGAGACCAGAGAGAGACCAGAGAGAGCAGAGAGAGAGCAGAGAGAGCAGAGAGAGAGCAGAGAGAGACCAGAGAGAGAGACCAGAGAGAGAGACCAGAGAGAGCCGAGAGAGAGCAGAGAGAGACCAGAGAGAGCCGAGAGAGACCAGAGAGAGCCGAGAGAGAGCAGAGAGAGACCAGAGAGAGAGACCAGAGAGAGAGACCAGAGAGACTAGAGAGAGACCAGAGAGAGACCAGAGAGAGAGAGCAGAGAGAGACCAGAGAGAGCAGAGAGAGAGCAGAGAGAGACCAGAGAGAGCAGAGAGAGAGCAGAGAGAGAACAGAGAGAGAGCAAAGAGAGAGCAAAGAGAGAGCAGAGAGAGACCAGAGAGAGACCAGAGATACACCAGAGAGAGACCAGAAGGAGATCAGAGGGAGACAATGTGCTATCAAGATAACCTTTCTTACCTTCTGTCATACCGCAGGCTCTGGCGTACAAGTCCAGAATCTTTTTTCTTCGGTTTTGCAACAGCTGTGAGACATGCAAACAGTTACTAACATTACAGTAATAAACAGTTTGTTCGACGACCTCGTTTGAAACTCACTATAGTTCATTTATGCTTTTTATCATCCTATTTTGAGATGATTTAGTTCTTTTCCAAGGGGTTTTCCAGTCCGTTTATTGTGATGTGTCAATGACTATATATAAATAAATAATACACTAACTATTTCAGATTGTTTTATTCATTATAGTCTTGTAAATGCACTTACTTTGTGCACTAGTAACAGATATGCGATGATAAATAATGATTGTACCCAATATCAGACTAGTTCACACCAATATATCACCACATTTTTCCCAGGGCTGCTTAAAGGAGTAGCTCTCTGCCGTTATTGTCACGGGAAAGTAGCTCTCTGGGTGAAAAAGGTTGGAGACCCCTGATCTAACCTGTATGTAAACCGTCACACCTACATATAGCCCGCACTTGAATATAAGCTGCAGGTTTTCATGTTGTAATGCAGCAAATAGACAACTGTTTTAACATAAGAGTTTTAACAGCTTAACCGTAAGTTTCCATGACTCAATCTGTTTTGACAATAAACCAGTCTAAGGTACTTGGCGGTGAATACGTTCCAATTCAGTGTGCATCAAGCATGGGGGTGACTTGGCGATAACTGTTCATACATAGGGTTCAAACACGTCCCTGTGTGCTTTACTTTACTGTGATGTAGAGAATACCAAGTGGTGTTGCAGCGACCTTTGCTAGCATGACGGATATCCTCTTCTACTTTTCTTAAGGGAGGTTTGATATGGCGTGTTGTGCGGGATCCCATAGCTTTCTTAACATATATACTCCCTTTCAGTTGCCCAACGAATAAGCGTACGGCCGTCCGGAATTGAATCTACTGCTGCCGTGTTACATTGGTAAAAATCCAGTTTAAACACTGCCGGTGCGCGCACGGTACATGTGATGTGATTTGAGGTGGATCGTTTGATTTGTCGTCAAGTGGGAAAGGGAAGGCCGGGTGTGTTGTTGGCTACTTGTGGTCAGGCCTGGTTGGCCGGTGGGGGGACTGGGCAACAATTTAACTTGCCGTCGTTTCAAATTTAGGGCGCGACCGTGATGAATCTCAAGGTCTGTATGTCAAGAGTCTGTAATACGCAAGATGGGTCATAAATTCTCGAAACGGTCACCCGACCGTTCGGACCACATTGCTACATGGTTTGTGTCGGGCCTCTCGGCAGGTACGTCCAGAATATCGGCCAATACGTGGAAAATTTACAGCTGGTGGACATGGCGCGTGGCTACAACGAAATCGTACGAGTCATAGTAACGCAAGATTTTGGGCTGATTAGACGCGATAGGACTCGACCCGACCGTGCTGTACATCTGGCAAACCTTAGGAACGTCAGTGACGGGGAAATGTCTTGGTGAACTGCGCTGGCGTAGGGGTACGACGGTAATAGAACGTCAGATAAACGGCTAGAGGGGGCAGAGAGATCTGGAGAGAAGCCGTCCCCACCAGTTCCGTACATCATACCTTTAGTACGTGCCATCAACCATCAGGTAGGGGAGGAATGTAGCGGAATCACCGCCAGTAAAACGTTCAGGCGCTCCGGACACTACGTCTGCTCCAAGTGAATAAAGTCCAAAGAGTGACCAGAAGAAGCAGTAAGAGAGCATGTGAGAGCAAGAAGAGGCAGAGAGAGACCCAAAAGAGTCCAGAAGAACCAATGAGCCAGAAGACAAAAAGACCACTAGAGAGCCATACAGACCAGAGACCAAAACAAAGAACCAGGGGAAGAAGGGGAAGAATTAGACCAAGAGGAAACCAAGAGACGAAAGAGAACCAAGAGAACCAGAAATAGAGCAAAAGACCATAGAGACAAGAGTGACAAAGTCTACCAAGCATGTGAGTGCAGAATAACAGAGAGAAAGCAAAGAAAGGCAATAGAGAGCATAAGAAGACCAGAGAAACCCAAAGACACCTAGAAGCCCAAAGAATCAGAGATACATGTCGACAAATATAACCTTGCGGACCTGTCTTAAGACCGCTCGCTCGTTACAACATATCTGGTGGCTGCTGGGCTACTCTGGAACATGCTAACAGGTACTAACAGTTACAGTAAGAAACAGGTTTCACTACCGCGTGTGGAAACGCCTATAGTGCAAGTTATGCTTTTGATCATCCGATTTTGAATGATTATGGCGGGTCCATGGTGTGGCTTCCGGGAGGGGGATGTGTCTAGGACGAGAGATAAATATATTAATACACTTCGTAGTTCTGATGGGGTGTGAGGCATGTAGAGCCTGTGTAAAATGCATCTACGTTGGGCACTTGAACAGTTATGCGAGATGTAATAAGGTTGTACCCTAGTCTGACTATGCCTACCATTGAGTAGCCACCTCAGTTTGCCCAGGCTGCGGAATAGGAGTAGCTCTCGGCGTAGGGGCACGAGATAAGTATGCTCTCGGTATAAAAGGTTGGAGACCCCTGATCTAACCTGGATGTAAACCGTCTCACCTACATTACCCCACTTGGAATTTAATCGCAGTTTTCATGTGTAATGCAGCATATTAATCATCGGGGGTGAACATAAAGGGTGATAACAGCGTAATCCGGAAGTGGCCATTCGCAATCTGTTTGGGACATTATCCATGGTCCTATACTACGAAAAAACGATGGCAAATATAAATGTCCAGAAACCGCCGCCGGACAACTTTACCTCAATAAAAGACCATAATTAGCCGCACGGGGCTAAGTACCACAAGAACAAAGAAGGAGACAAGGCTGTGGTGGTGTGACCAGGGTGATGATCCAGACACTTGCAGCGCCCCGTCGGATCCATGTCCCCAGAGGGATTTTTGTCGTATTTCGGGAGTCACGTTGGGCCTAGCTACGGGGGGTAATGGTAAAAGGGGCAGGGGGGTGGTGCCCTCTGCATTTGTCCCATCCGGTTGCCACAAACTGTACTCTGAGCAGGGCGTCGGTGAACAGCGCCCGGAATGCAGCCCAGGTTGAGGCGCCTTGGGCCAGGAAACCAGACTGGAGGATTTTACTGAGTGTGCCATCGTGAGTGGGTCAGCAAAAGCGACACCCGGAGGAAACCGCAGAAACGAGGAGAACACCAAACTCCACGCAGAACCAACGGGCGATACCACTCAGCCACCGTGTTTGGGCAAAGGCCCCCCGAGATAACTACGTCTGTGGTTGAGGGCTACAACAAGAAAACACTGAAAAGAGGGGAAAAAAAAGGACGGCTCACAGTCCCGGACACTATTGGACGGTTTTGAAAGTGATAATAAGCAAGTTTTTATGCGTACCCCTGGAGTCTGGGGTGTGGGTTGGGAGGGCGTTGCAGGGCGGGGGAGGGGGGTGGATGTTGCGGAAAGGGGGGGACTGGGGGCCGTGCGCCCGGGCCGATGGCCCGGTACTGCCGGCTCAGGGCTCCAGCTCCCAGTCAGAGGCACAGTCGGTTGTCGCTGCTGAGCTCTGGGCCGTGCTGGGGCCGCGCGAGTCGGCCGAGACCTGCTTGCGTCGCAAGCCCCTCGTCACGGCGAGGCGGCCCCTTGACGCTCGTGGCGGAAGAGCGGCGTGTTCACTGGGCGGAAAAAATCATCAAAAGCACAGCACCTGTGGGGGAGGTGTGCCAGAAAAGAAGACAGTGTCGTCCCGACAGAAAGATTCGCGATCAAAGTTAAGGTGTGGGAATAAATCAACCTCTCAGGCGGCCGTCATCGATGTGTCCTGCCTGCCGGGAGTGTATTCCCCTATGCCAGTGTGTGATGGCAGGGGGGCGGCAATACTGTGCGGCACTCTGTCACAGACAAAAATAAAAAACCACAAGCCACCCCCCCGTTATTGTAACCATCAGTAGGGTAAAGGGCTCCTGGTTATATGGGGCAAACTACTTGCTGTAACTGGTTAATGGATAAAGGGAAGTTGTTGTATTTATGGGTTGGTGTTGTGGGTATGATGATTCGATCAAAAACAAAAAATTCCCTAGTCGCCCTATCTAGTTCCATTGTAAAGGTAAAGGTTGCACTTAATTAAAACCCGGTAGGGCAATTCATCCTCTGCATTTGACCCATCCTGATGCCCTAAGGCGCACATCAGGTCAGTGGTCGCCGAGTAGTAACAGCGCCCGGAACCCATCTCCAGATGTTGATGCTCGGCTTGGCCAAGACCAGAGCTGGAGGATTTTACCTAGTGAGCATGTTTTTAGTGGTAGGGGAAACCGGAGTACCCGGAGGAAACCTACGCAGGCACGGGGAGAACATGCAAACTCCACGCAGAAAGACCCTGTTCGACCGGGATTCGAACCTAGGACCTTCTTGCTGAGAGGCGAGAATGCTATCCACTCAGCCACCGTGCAAACAAAATGTGCATTTATCTCTTGCTGTGCTTATTTATGGTCCACTCTCTGTGTTTTTGTCCTGTCTCAAAATCACCTTACTGACGCAGATCCTCACAGAATGCCATTGTTTCGCTGTGCCACACTTTTTCAGTAAATGCACAAAAATAGCATTGTTTTGGAGACATTGAACACCCGCTCTGGCAGCTAAAGCAGTGAGTTAGCACATCTTCTGGCATGTTTCACACTGTTTACTGCTGTTGCTGTGTGGGGCTCTTCCACTCTGTAATAATGTACTTTCAGAGGCGCTGGCAGACTGAGGCGTAGCAGGTCTCCACTGTTTCCCCTTATTCTAAAAACCACATGCTGTGGTCAATAAAAGCACCTCTGTCAATGGGGAATAGGCTTTCAAAAACACTGCATACAGTATTGTGCAGTAGTTTATCTAAAATATGTTCTTTTTTGGGAAATGCATTCTTTATTATTCACACATTGTGTATGGCTCATTAAGTTAGTCCGTGGCTGCAGATAGCCGACCTATGTCCACATTTAGAGGTGAGTTTAATCTTTCATCATGAGCGCCGATTAGCCTGAATGTTTCTGGTTGATTATTGATATTTTTCCTGAAAATAGGGATAATAAGTAAGGAAGTTGATTGTAATAATTCTCGATTTTTTGTTTGTTAAACTAGAATAAAATGTATTGGTTTATTCACAAACATCAGTTATGTTCTAGTTTATTTGGTGCATTGTGTTTGGGAAGATTGTTGCAGTAAAAATGTGTTTCTCATTTATTTACTCTTTTTAACAAATGTATTTAAATTGGCTCGATGCCACTATTTTGAGAGAGACTTAATGTTGGTTACATTTCAGACTATGCAGTGTCCAAGTATGCTATCGTAAGAAAAAGTCCTTGTACAGAGCTGAGCTTTTTGTTGAATGTTGAATATTTGATCACACCTTTTTCGTCTCACACTCATTCCTGTCCAGTCTTCTTCCCTGTTGTGTGTTCTAAGTGATGCTTAAAGTCAATACCCCTATGTTCCACACAGCCCTCTCTGTCTGTGCTCAGCTCCAGACGGGCCTTGTCTACGCTACCTTCAACCACCGCCATCAACCTCCTATCTCCTCCATCCAAGCCACATAATAGTTCTCTGCTTCATTAAAAATAAATCGTTTTTTTTCCATACCCATACATGTCCCATATTCCCAGAGTCTGAGCTGCAGTGACTTGTTCTGCGGTGGCCTAATTGTGGGCAGATGCCGAAAACAAATGATAAAATCCCTGTTTTCTCTTGTGTGGGAGTCAGAGAGACGCCGGGTGCTAATGTAAACATGGACTGTATATGGTTATTATGCACATTTATAGACTCGGGCACATGTGCAGCGAGTCTGTGGGAAGTGCATTAGCTAATAGTGAATAAGCAACAAACAAATCTGCCTTTTCTTTCTACAAAATACAGTACAGTATATCAAATACAGGATGTTTTCATATTTATTCCCATTGGTATTTTCATTTAACTACGATTAAGAAAAGGCTATTTCTTTTCTCACCTTTTTACCGTCTTTGGAGGAGGGGCTTTAAGCTTGTCAAACTCATCCTTCTCGGAATAGATCACAACATTATCTGTAAAGAAGAAAAGACACAAATGATTTACAATCCTAAACTGCGTTCATATATAAAGTGTCTGGCTTGCATTGTTATTTTAAAGCGAGTTTAGGCAAGTTTTTGACACAGTTAGAGCAAGAACAGTGAGCCTCTGGAGCAGGCGGGACACAAATGGGTTTTAGAACTATTGCATGGCAGAATAAAGATTTTTTTAGTCAAAATAATGAAACAGACTGACAAATGCTGACACCCAGGCTTTCTTTCTGCAGTATAGATAGTATGGGATATCCTAAAACACTCACTTAGAGCAGGGATGTCAAAGCCAAATACATCAGAGGGCCAAAAAAACAAATTTGCTGCAAGTCAAGGGCCAGACTGGTGAACCAAGACCTAAAACAGTGGACCGCATTTTATTTATTGATTAAGATAAGAATCAAAATGTTTCTGTATGGTTCTGTCACGGACAAAAACAAACTTCCTTCAATGAGAAAACACGTCTTGAAAATTAAATTAATAATCCAATATTGTCTTATGACTGTGCGGCCGGTTCTAACACTAATCAAATATCATCCTGGGGCCAAAATAATTAATTCGCGGGCCGCATCTGCCCCCGGGCCTTGACTTTGACACCCATGAATTAGAGCCATCTGAGGCTATGTATTTCCCATTGTGGCTTCATTACAGCCTTAGTGAATATTATCCTGGCTAAATGACAGATTCAATAGTTATAGCGTTTGCCCTTACAGACTGAATAATCACTTCTCTGTGTGCGTGTGTATGTGTCTGTGTGTGTGTGCGTGTGTGTGAGTGTGTGCGTGTGCGTTTGTGTTTAAGCTCAGGCCTGAACTCTTTCATCCTAAATCCTTATTAAGCTGCTGTCTTCATGAGTGACAGGTAACTCCGGTAGAGCTGCGAGCAATGTACTGCGATCCCACCTACACACATACCACTTATATTCACACACACTTTCACAGCAAAGCAAGATATTTATTGGTTTAGTCATGCCCTAACTTTATCATATTATATTGTTAAGTCAATGACCTATAATTGTACGGTATATAATGCGCTCCTGACCGCAGATTTGGCTGAGGTACGTGTGTGAACGTGTGGCTTCTCCGCTGTCCGCCACATGGGAGCAGTTAGTCAGAGCGTCGGTCTGGATGTGAAAACGAACAGAGCATCTTTGTGAAGGGAAAAATGCCCTAAAGCGGAGTGTGTGTGTGTGTGTGTGTGTGTGTGTGTGTGTGTGAGTGCGGACATCCCACTGTGATGTATTCTCGGTCTGTCAACTCATTCGGCATCATGGATTGAAATAGAAAAAGATTGAACCCAAAAGCTATCGGGTTTGGGTGTGATCGGTATTGGACTGATTTCTTTGCTCTTGCCGAGGATCGTCAAATAAAACAAACGCTTTAGTACGAGGCCACTTTAGTTTACCAGATGACAACCCAAACCCAACTTTTGACTTGATTCAGGCTGTTCTGAGCTTAACAATATTGATACAAGATTGATCACAAGCTGCATTAGTGCTCTATTTAAACATTTTAGCAAAATAAGTCAGCTAACCAAGCCATCATTTTCTAACATGTATAGTTAGCAAATAAAACTCAGTGTAAGTACAAATGTTAAATTACGAGACACTCCAGAACACCATTGCATTGCTGTAGCTAGCAGAAGTAAAAAATGGTTTTGAGTTGTATATGAAATGAAGTATAGGCCTAAGATTGTAATGAAAAACCCCACTCCCATTTTGTGTGGAAAAATGTCATTCTATAGTTCTAAAGAGTATCAGTGATAAAAATGTGTGTTTTAGAGACTATATGTCATAAAATAAATTGGATACAATCAAACGTCCACATTCAGAGCAGCAAGATGAAGATGAGCCCAGATCAGGCCACATGGATCATTAGGTATAGGGAGTAAATTACTGTAATCTTAAATCAGGAGAAAACCAGGACTTGTGTTAATCCACTCCAACAATGTCAAAACAAAACGTGCCTCATGTACGGCGCAGAGTGATCGGGTTAGTTTTCAAAATAATGAATGATGCTTTTGTGTCTTTTGAGTGTGTGTCTGTATCTAGTATGTTTCCCCGGTCCTTCCTGAGTATCTGGAAGTAATAAGTACAGTATTGTAAAATAAATAACTAAACATGTGTTGGGGAAAGAAAAGCCACATGTTCTGCAGAGCAAAGAGAATGCGGATAATGAATGTTTACGCTTGTGCCTTTGTTTCAACATTTCTCCGTTCATTAGTTGACACTGTTTTATCCCTCTAACCCCTTAAAGGTCCAATGTGCTGGGGCTAGAGCAAAATGATTTTATTCTATTGTTTTTGTCAGTCAATTGATGAGGATTACAATGATTCCAACTACTGAAATCATGGTCAAAAGAAAAGATGAATCACTTATTTTGGTCAAACTTTCGGAGATGAATCTGGACCAGTTTGAAAAATCTATTTTCTCAGTTAAATTAGCCTCAGCTGTAAAAGAGGAACTGGAACAGGTCAAGTATCTGTAAGACTCAGCTCTGTAGGCAGTCTTTCAAGTTTGATCTTTCTCTTTGGAGAGATCGTTCCCATTTGTAATTAGTAAATGAGTCATTAAAGGCCAAAACTAAAGGGCTGAAGCACAGGTTCAAAAGTAGATCTATGACATTACGATTATTGGATTTCTAACTATCAATGATCGAGTTGGGTTATATTTATCAAGAGGTCCATAATCAATGTTTTTTTTTTTTTTTTTACTTTTACAATTGTCTTATGAAAGTCTGTTTTAAACTAATCAGACCACACCATTCTATATTTCCTGATTAGAAAACACTGCATACGTCACTATTTACACTTTGGGCTCAGAGGTGATTGGCTGAGTGTTGGTGGTCCTCTCTTTTTCCTTTCTCTGTCTGAAAAAAGCTTATTTAAAGATGTGACGGCGACCAACAAATATATGTATGTGAAAACTATATGTTTAGTTATTTAGCGAGGAACTAGTAAAATGATGCTTTGTTTACTACTATTCAGTCTCTTTGTGAAGGAAACTTGAAAATTGAATTCTAGACTAATAAATACAAGAGTTAGGGGAAAAAGAAATATTCAACAACTATATCACCACTAACCACTTATATGTACAGTATATATGTAATGTATAGGAGGATCTTTGTTTACATCCGTGTGTGCATGCGCTCCTCGCTGGGTGGCAAAAAGACAGAGCGGCACATACAGAGCGTGATATAAAGATAAGCTAAAAATAAGTATTGGAGACTGAACTGAACAAATTAAAAGCCCATTGGAGACCTGGGATGACGAGAAAAAACATTGGTCGGACTCGCCTCTGTCTTGGCACCGATCTGCTGGGACTGGGAGACATTCTTACTTCATAGAAAACCCTTCACGCAAGAAGGGTCCGTGGTGAAAATCCATTTCTCGCGTTTTTCACCGAGGTAAAGTGGCCGATGCGGTAAAGTGGTTCACACATTAAAAGCGGAACAAGAAGTGGCGGGGAAGAGCAACCCAAATGCAATGTTTAAAATTAATCATCACAGTGAACAAGTGTGCAGTGTGTAGTTGCAAAACTATTTTATTTTCTAATGAATTTTTTTCCCGTTCTATGTTTACCGTACGTAACAGCATAAAAGAGCAACCATTTTACCGCGGCCGTTTTTCGCTGTTCTTTTCCGAAAGAATGAAGAAAAACTTGATCTGTCCCCAGCGGGCCGTACTGTAAAACCGACCACACAACAAGAACGGACCCTTTGATTTAGTAAAACCTCTCTCCAAACGTCTAGAAACAGCGAACTCTCTAGCATCCAGGAACCTTTCTATGCTGTTCTGCCACCAGGTCATGTGACTGTACTATAAACAGTGTTGGGCACGTTACTTTGAAAAAGTAATTAGTTATAGTTACTAGTTACTTCTCCCAAAAAGTAACTGAGTTACTAACGGAGTTACTCCACTATAAAAGTAACTAGTTACCAGTAAAAGTAACTATTGCGTTACTTTTTCGTTTTGTTCTGGAACATAATGTGCACCCGACGTGCGCATTTTTACCTTTAACAGTGCCAATATTTCCATCTAGAAAAAGCTGTTTTGCTGCTGAAGTCTTGTTCACTCTTCATCTCTCTCTGTGCTGTAAGCACTAAACACCAACACCCTCCACTGTGAATGTGGAAACACCGGTGACGAGCGGTGAGGCTGGTGAAGCACTGACTTCAGTCCAATCAGATGAACATATACATCATATAAATCAAGTGGACAATTTGTTTGGCTACAGCAAAATACAGTGCCTTGCGAAAGTATTCGGCCCCCTTGAACCTTTCAACATTTCGCCACATTTCAGGCTTCAAACATAAAGATAGAAAATTTTAATTTTTTGTCATGAATCAACAACAAGTGGGACACAATCGTGAAGTGGAACAAAATGTATTGGATAATTTAAACTTTTTTAACAAATAAAAAACTGAAAAGTGGGGCGTGCAATATTATTCGGCCCCTTTACTTTCAGTGCAGCAAACTCACTCCAGAAGTTCAGTGAGGATCTTTGAATGATCCAATGTTGTCCTAAATGACTGATGATGATAAATAGAATGCACCTGTGTGTAATCAAGTCTCCGTATAAATGCACCTGCTCTTTGATAGTCTCAGGGTTCTGTTTAAAGCGCAGAGAGAACCATGAAGACAAAGGAACACACCAGGCAGGTCCGAGATACTGTTGTGGAGAAGTTTAAAGCCGGATTTGGATACAAAAAGATTTCCCAAGCTTTAAACATCTCAAGGAGCACTGTGCAAGCAGTTATATTGAAATGGAAGGAGTATCAGACCACTGCAAATCTACCAAGACCCGGCCGTCCCTCCAAACTTTCATCTCAAACAAGGAGAAGACTGATCAGAGATGCAGTCAAGAGGCCCATGATCACTCTGGATGAACTGCAGATAACTACAGCTGAGGTGGGAGAGTCTGTCCATCGGACAACAATCAGTCGTGCACTGCACAAATCTGGCCTTTATGGAAAAGTGGCAAGAAGAAAGCCATTTCTCAAAGATATCCATAAAAAGTCTCGTTTAAAGTTTGCCACAAGCCACCTGGGAGACACACCAAACATGTGGAAGAAGGTGCTCTGGTCAGATGAAAATCGAACTTTTTGGCCACAATGCAAAACGATATGTTTAGCGTAAAAGCAACACAGCTCATCACCCTGAACACACCATCCCCACTGTCAAACATGGTGGTGGCAGCATCATGCTTTGGGCCTGCTTTTCTTCAGCAGGGACAGGGAAGATGGCTAAAATTGATGGGAAGATGGATGGAGCCAAATACAGGACCATTCTGGAAGAAAACCTGTTGGAGTCTGCAAAAGACCTGAGACTGGGACGGAGATTTATCTTCCAACAGGACAATGATCCAAAACATAAAGCCAAATCTACAATGGAATGGTTCACAAATAGACGTATCCAGGTGTTAGAATGGCCAAGTCAAAGTCCAGACCTGAATCCAATCGAGAATCTGTGGAAAGAGCTGAAGACTGCTGTTCACAAACGCTCTCCATCCAACCTCAGCGAGCTCGAGCTGTTTTGCAAGGAAGAATGGGAAAGAATTCCAGTCTCTCGATGTGCAAAACTGATAGAGACATACCCCAAGCGACTTGCAGCTGTAATTGCAGCAAAAGGTGGCGCTACAAAGTATTAGCGCAAGGGGGCCGAATAATATTGCACGCCCCACTTTTCAGTTTTTTATTTGTTAAAAAAGTTTAAATCATCCAATCAATTTCGTTCCACTTCACGATTGTGTCCCACTTGTTGTTGGTTCTTGACAAAAAATTAAATGTTTATATCTTTATGTTTGAAGCCTGAAATGTGGCAAAATGTTGAAAGGCTCAAGGGGGCCGAATACTTTCGCAAGGCACTGTATGTTTTATGCCCGCATTGTTTGTTCATACAAAACGCAAAACTATGAGTTATGGGTCTTACCTTATAGCTATACCTTATAAATGACCTGCGCAGTCCACTTCGGTTCAGACCAGTTCCTTGTTTAAATCCAGTTAATGGTTTGAGCGTAGATATGTAATCCTCCATTTGGAAATGAGTCCAATGAGTTTTAAAAAGTAAAACAAAACGCGTGTGTCCTCCGTAAACTCCTCTGTTTTGCTAGCGGCAGCCGAGTGCATCCAATTTCTAAAATCAACCGTCTAACACTTCACCTCTCTTTCTTATCATTCCTATAGTAATTGAAAAATTACCCTATGTGCATTTTAGATTATGTAAAAATGTGTTATATGTATGTTAGCCAAACCTGTTGCTGTCCTTAGCAGATAAACCAGGAAGAGCAAGGAGCTTATCGATGGAATTGTATGCAGTCGACTTCTGCGCTCACATGCACTCCTCTGTGGCTGACCTCACGGTGATACAAGCCGTGGTTGAGCGCGATTAAGACCCATATTTGTTTCAAAAACACAATTTATGAGCCATCCTCTCAACTGTAGACATGTGGATTGTAAAGGAAATATGTTTTACATCAGCCAATAATTGCTGAGAGGTTTTCTCATCCTCCCTTCTCTCATGACAACACGTTCATTGTGCGTCTTTAGTAACGCGCAGTAACGGGATGTCGGAAATGATAACGGCGTTATAGTTACTGTCAAAGTAATTAGTTAGATTACTCGTTACTGAAAAAAGTAACGACGTTAGTAGTAACACCGTTATTCCCATCACTGACTATAAACAACGTCGTCACTCAAAGATCCTCCTGTAGATTAAACATGCACAGTATTTCCAGGTATGCAGAGTGTACACAGGATATAGCTCACTAACAAGCAGCATGGGTGTAAACAGAGCTCTTGTTTGAGGCGATTATGCAGCTTAGTGGTACGGTAAGTGTAATGCGGTGTCAAAGTGTCTAAATGACAAAAACAGGATGCAGCAAAAGATCTAAAACACTGTAAGGCTTAATTATCTCCTCCATGTTCACAGTAGCTCACCGGGGACGTCTTTCTTGTCTTCCTGTTTGTTTGTCTGCGCCTCCACGGCCTTCACCACTTGTCCGGAGCAACAAGCTGCAGGGCGACATAATGGAAACACACCATTTAAAAGAGAAAAGCAATTAACACTGAGCTGGTGCTGAGTCTGAGTTTCTTTGTGCATGTTTCTGCAGACGTCTGAACGGGTAGATATGAAATTACGAAGCTAAAGATGAAAGATAGACAAGCAATTTAGCCTATTTTAAATGAATGAATTCGATATCCATTCATCCATCCATCCATCCATTTTCTTCCCCTTAATCCATTTCTGGGTCGGGGGGGTGGCAGTCAGAGCTGCACCCAGTCATAGAGCACCAGCCCCTCACTGATCCTCCTGCAGGTGGTGCGTCCACAGCAGCTGAGATCTTTCAGTGGGGGCTTTTGGGCAAAGTAGGGTTAAGTGTCTTGCCCAAGGACACAACGACAGCAGTCATCAGTGGGAGTCGTGAAGGGGGTCTTACGGTGGGCTCGAACCTACGACCTTCAGGCCCAAAGGCCAATGCTCTACCAACTGAGCTACTGTCGCCTCGATATCCATTCAGACATGTACAAAACTAACTTTGTACAACCATTAAGCCAGCTCTGACTGCCACCCCCCTGACCCAGAAATGGATTAAGGGGAAGAAAATGAATGGATGGATGGATGGACGTATAGATAATGAACAAGTTACAATCTCAAAACTCTAAATAGGCCACACCACATTTCTATCATTACAAAACATATGTCAGCTTTGATATTTTGCCTATGGTGAACCTTTTTGGGATTCTGGTCTCATACGAGGAAAAGTCAGCTCAGTGTTACTTGTTGTTTTCCAAAAAGGTAATGTAGATACAACATTATCAAAACTCCCAAAGAGACGAGCGGCTGAGGACCTAGCTCCAGCAGACACACATTATGTTGTCTCTGTGTGGCCGGTTTCAGCGTGGGGAGATAGATTCATGGCTCATCAGTTGCTAAATATCCTCCCTTCCCCATTTCGCAATGCAGGGTTCTGTCAAATACAGCTCGGCCCAAAACATAACAAAAAAAGCTTGGATGGATATAACATGCAACGTTCCTAGATTTATTGAAAGCTGATAAAAAAATGCTGTTTTTCTTAAGGTTTATGTGCAGTAATGTTGCTGTGGCCGTTGGGTTTGGCATGACCTTTGAATTCATAATGGTTTTAATACTCTGCCGGTGATAAAGTATTAGGTATTAAGTGAATTGAGCTAATAAATAGTTATCTAATAAGAGGAAAAGTCATTTTAGTGTCGGGTGTGGTCCTCAAAAATGTAAGAAATATGCTTCATTATTAAAAAGAGGCCGAGTGTAACTTTTTGGTTGGAGATGCTTTTTCTTTGTCAATGTTGTTTATGTTTAATGGTGGAATCAAAGACCTATGGAGACAAGCGAGAGAACTCTAAAGTCATATTTGTGAAGAGAGAAAAGTCATGATAAGAATGTGAGTATGTGCTTCAACATAATTCAAGAACAGTTTCCTTAAATTCAACTCAAGTGCCACTTTAGGTGTAAGCCCAAAGTGTTTCAGACAGACAGAAATAAATACATACGTAGAATATTAAACAAAGAATTCAGTTGGTGCTGAAAGCCAAGACATTACTGACCTCGCTGATCTGACAGGAACATATACAGATAGCAGCTCAGACAGATATGACAGGGAAAAGCCATTTCAACGTTTAACAACAAGAATAATCTTCAACTCTGGATGTGACAGAGTGAAGTGGGGCCAGCACAGGGAGATGTGCTCTCTCTTATGAGCATGCAGGTAGGTGACAATGGCTCAGTTGGTAGAGCATTGGCCTGTGAGCCTGAAGGTTGTGGGTTCGAGCCCAAAGCAAGATCTTCTCCACCACTGATGTCTGCTGCCGTTGTGTCCTTGGGCAAGACCCACTTTGCCTATAAGGAGTGCGGAAGTAATGTCCAGACCAAAAAGGACCAGACCACAGGTGAATAACTCGCTCAAAGTCAGTGGGTGTAATACTTCACTGTAGAAGATCGCTTTGACGTCAGAATTGATTTTCTTACGATCATACTTGGTAATGACACAGTTTTCAGAGACGCAGAGATGTGCTGCTCACCGTGTCCGTTGGGTTTTGCCTTCAGGATGTAAAACATGATGATGAGGACGATTGCGATGGCCATGATGAAGATGGTGGACATGGCAATGATCAGAGCTGTTGCTAAGTGCCCCTGGGCTGTGGGCTCTGAAACGAAAACAGTGAGATTGTTCTTTACCTCCTAGACTTTCATCGATAAAGTAAGTAAGAAGTAAGTTATCTCTCTGGAACTCACTCCCTCAACCCATCAGACCCTCAGACTCACTACAGAACTTTAAATCTCTTCTCAAAACCCACCTGTTTCAGCCTTTCCTTAATTTTGTGTTTTGTAAAGCGCCCTTGAGTGTCCAAAAAAGCGCTATATAAGTTTGATGTATTATTATTATTATTGTTAACCCACTAATAGAGAACGTGAGCTGGGATTAGAGCGTTGTGAGACAGATTAGATTTACATTACTGATGACTACTGAGGCTGCTTTTCAGATTCATGCTGCTAAAATCTGGAACAATCTTCCTGAAGATGTGAGACAGGCCTCCTCTCTAAAAATGTTTAAAACCAGGCTAAAGACAGTTTTGTTTAGCTGTGCATACAACTGAGGGATTTTATATTTTTATCTTTCTTTTTAATGTTCTGTGATTATTTATGATTTTAATGCTTTCTTATTTTTGTTCAGCCGGGAGGAGGCCCCGCGGAAGACCTAGGACACGCTGGAGGGACTATGTCTCTCAGCTGGCCTGGGAACGCCTTGGGGTCCCCCCGGACGAGCTGGAGGATGTGTGTGGATAGGGAAGTCTGGGCGTCTCTGCTTAGACTGCTGCCCCCGCGACCCGGCAACGGATAAAGCGGAAGAAAATGGATGGATGGATGGATGCTTTCTTATTTTTGTTCAGCACTTTGAGTTGCCTTGCGTATGAATTGTGCTATACAAATAAACTTGCCTTGCCTTGCCATGATGTGTTGTTGCAATAGTAATCCTGCTAAGAAAAAATCAATTGTAAAGTGCTTTGTGACTAGTCTGTGAAAGGCGCTTTATGCTAAAACCTACTTATTTTCATCTATTGACTAAGGAAGACCACATATATGCATTTTAAAGGTAATTTTGTTGGATGAGTATTGTTTCTTGCTCATAGATCAAATTGGACGTGATCCATCCATCCATTTTTGACTGTTGCACTGAGCCAAAGCAATTTCCAAGTCTGTGACCTCCTGTTACTTACGTTGGCAATAAAAATGATTCTGATTCTGATTCTGATTCTGATTTTCTTCCCCTTAATCCATTTCTGGGTCGGGGGGGTGGCAGTCAGAGCTGCACCCAGTACACAGAGCACCAGCCGCTCACTGATCCTCCTGCAGCTGGTGAGTCCACAGGAGCTGAGATCTTTTCAGTTGGGGCTTTGGGCAAAGTAGGGTTAAGTGTCTTGCCCAAGGACACAACGACAGCAGTCATCAGTGGGAGTCGTGAAGTAGGTCTTACGGTGGGCTCGAACCCACGACCTTCAGGCTCAAAGGCCAATGCTCTACCAACTGAGCTACTGTCGCCCTAAATTGGACGTTATGATCTGATATTATATGAGATGTGTCGTGGATGAGGCTTGTTGCATTTTTGTGGCTACCTTTATGACGAGAGGGGAACATGGTGGTGCTCCCTGGATCCGCCGGAGGGGGTGGTGGGGGTTTACTTCTGCCTGTAAGTACAGTACAATGCTGAGGATAAGATTCACAAATGTAATCGTGGTTAATGACGAGGTTCCTATTGTAAGTCACTTGAAATTAGGGGAGAAAAAATAAATATATAACGGGCTAAATGCCGTTTCATCTGCTTTCCATGATAAGTCTGTGATCTATGAATGGACAATTTCCACTCAACTGGATGAGAGCGCTCAAAATTTAAGAAAGATGAGCAAGTTTGAGAAGGTTTTTGAATTTGGCTTTGTACATCCACACGCAGAAGAACTTTAGGGTATATTTATCAAGTGTTTGTCTGTGTGCAAAACCGATTAGTGAGCTTAATGCGCTATACAATAAAACATTACTTAGTTACTACTTAACAATTGGAGCAAAGTGGTTTGAAATTCCTATAAAAACATGAGAATAAGAGTTTACAGCATAATTGATCAGTATATTCTCTATCCTGTCAATCTTTTTTTTCATTTGTTAATATTATTTTTGAAGTAATCTTTTCCTTTGCATTATATTTGTTGCCTTGTTATGTTTTTGAATTATGACATTTCGACCAATCAAACGCTAAAAGGCAAAAACAAAAATAAAGTGTGTTTAAATATAAAAAAAGAACCAAAATCTTCCTTAATTGGTCTCGATGGAGATTTTGAAGTCAGTTCTTTGAGCGGTTCATTGTCAGGATTACAATAGCCTTCACATTTCAAACTCCACATTAGTTTGGGTTATTAGATGTACTTAAAATAATGACATTTAAATGGGTATAGTTATGTGTAATTGTGGGAATAGTGCAACCACACACAGACACACACAGACGCACACACACATAGACACATAGAACCACATAGACGCACACACACATAGACACATAGAACCACACAGACGCACACACACATAGACACATAGAACCACACAGACGCACACACACATAGACACACACAGACGCACACACACAGACACATAGACACACACAGACGCACACACACATAGACACATAGACACACACAGACGCACACACACATAGACACATAGAACCACATAGACGCACACACACATAGACACATAGAACCACACAGACGCACACACACATAGACACATAGAACCACACAGACGCACACACACATAGACACACACAGACGCACACACACAGACACATAGACACACACAGACGCACACACACATAGACACATAGACACACACAGACGCACACACACATAGACACATAGAACCACATAGACGCACACACACATAGACACATAGAACACACAGACGCACACACACATACACATAGAACCACACAGACGCACACACATAGACACATGAACCACACAGACGCACACACACATAGACACACACAGACGCACACACACAGACACATAGACACACACAGACGCACACCACACATAGACACATAGACACACACAGACGCACACACACATAGACACATAGAACCACATAGACGCACACACACATAGACACATAGAACCACACAGACGCACACACACATAGACACACACAGACGCACACACACAGACACATAGACACACACAGACGCACACACACATAGACACATAGACACACACAGACGCACACACACATAGACACATAGACACACACAGATGCGCACACACATAGACACACACAGACGCACACACACATAGACACACACAGACGCGCACACACATAGACACACACAGACGCACACACACATAGACACACACAGACACACACAGATGCGCACACACATAGACACACACAGACGCACACACACATAGACACACACAGACGCGCACACACATAGACACACACAGACGCACACACACATAGACACACACAGACGCACACACACATAGACACATAGACACACACAGACACACACACACATAGACACATAGACACACACAGACGCACACACACATAGACACATAGACACACACAGACGCACACACACATAGACACATAGACACACACAGACGCATAGACACATAGACACACACAGACATACACACGCAGCCACACACAGACGCACACACACATAGACACACACACACACACACAGACACACACAGACGGACACACACACAGCCACACACACACACAGCCACACACTAGGAGCACACATGCACACACACACACACACACACACACACACAGCCACACACACACAGTTGGGAGTTGGCGAGTCTCTCCAGATTAGATGGTTGTTGGTTGTTGGTTGTTGCAAACCACGTTAATTTATTCTGAAAGGAAACTTTGCTTTGGCTTCACATAATGTTGACTTTTGCTCAGCAGACAATGTCACTGGCACCGATTGGGACTCACAAACATTTCACAAACTCAATCAACTGTGTCCAATAAAAGTGTTTGTCACAATGAGCATAATGGGAATAGTCCTTTCCAAAACGCTCTCTTCAGTCTCCTTTATTTTAAGCAATTTAGTAAACAATGGGGCACATTTACTACCCCACTAAAACAACATCTACTCACACTTATAATGGCGTGATTTCAGATTATTATGGATGGCTTATGTCGGCCAATTTGAATACACAACCTTTGTTTGTAGTAACATCACAACATCTATAGAAAAAATGTCTGAAACAATATTATAAAGTTCTATCAAGTAAATTAAAATGGAAAAGACAAAAAAGAATCATTCAATTTCTTTCAAATTAACATGAAATATGCAAAACAGTATTGAAATTTCAAACTCGATTCCGATATTTATGAAGAGAAAGCGCAGTGATTTTTATAGGTTATTTTTTCCATCAGTTATAGTAACAGTAGTATAGTAAAGTTTTTTTGAATCCTCTGAAAATATAAAATGTTGTCCCATTTACAAACTTGAGTATAAAGTTTCTATACTAGACAACAGTTTTAGTATCGTTTAACATTTGAACTTTGATTCCTCTGACGGCCCTAAACGCTGCACCACAGTAACCAGTGCAATGACTTACTTACAATCACAAACTAGTATCGTAAACAGTATAAAGTATTTTTCATAAGATGTTGGTTATGAAATGTAACTATAATTCTACTGATTCGACAGTGTTCACCGGTCCTGTCCTCTTCCCTTTGGTGTTTGTCGTCCCGCTCGTCTGATTTGCCCTCTGGCTGCAGACATTAACAAGAGGGGTATGTGTTTACACTTTTGGGATCAGGATATGGGCCCAAACTGGAATCTTGTTTATCGTCTTGCGGTTTAATCTCTTAATCATGACTGCGAGGCTGAAAGCACGCTGCGAAATGATCATTCTGCAGGGCAAATGTGGGAAAACAGGTCCAAACAATCACAGCGAGGAGAGAAATTACATTGGGGAGTGATTTTTTTTTTTTATCAGGAATCAAAGCATTTTTCATGGTTGAAGTGAAAAGTAGTTTACTCACAGTCGAATGCAAAAATGCTTTGAAATTCACAAGAAATAACTTTGTGTGGGGACAATCTCGCAATCTCTTTGGTGAACAATTATCGTTTTTACTAAGTGCCTGGGTGTGTGATAGGAGCGACGCCAAATGACAAAAATGTATCAAAATGTGACAGCTCTAAAAACAGTAATTCCGACAAAGGCCCCCCTCACATCTGCCTGCCAAAACGTAGCACAGACGCAAGCAGCAACACGCTAATCATGTCGGTCTCATACCCACTGCAGTTTTAATTATCGCAAACGCAGAGCCACAGAAGCCAGGGTAATTTACAGATTACATGGCGAGTGTCAGCCTGCCTAAAACCCCTACAAACAGAACTCCCAGCATCCAGCAAAACTTTTACTTCTGCAGTTAAACATTAGCATTTGTTGCCGTGATTAGTAGTAGTACTTTTGATGTCATGATAGTTCTAATACTTTCAAATAGTGTTACAAGTCTCAGCCAATGGGCGGTACGGTGGCTGAGTGGATAGTACTCTAGCTTCTCAACAAGAAGGTCCTGGGCTTGAATCATAGACTGTATAGATTAATGTTTGAATCCCGGTCGGAACAGGGCTTTTCTGAGTGGAGTTTGTATGTTCTCCCTGTGTCTGCGTAGGTTTCCTCCAGGTGCTCCGGTTTCCCCTACCACTAAAAACATGTACAGTAGGTCTGGCATGTGCCTCCTGTACTGGCCTCGCTCCCATCTCTGTGAGGAGTGACAGACTAATGCCCACAATTGTAAACCGCTTTGACTCTGTTCTGTGAAAGGCAGATTACTAACTCACTCACTTAGATTACAATTAAGATGCATAATGACTGTTCCAGAAGTAAATAATTAAAGCAATCCTATCAATTCTTACTAAAGGAATTCTGGAAAAAATACATTTATACATGTTTGAATACTTGCCTGCAAACCAATATTTATCTCGGAAAATTAAGATTAGGATTATGAGATTTGTTATTCGTCCCACAGTGAGGATATTCAAAGCACAAAACGCAAAACTACAGTATTAATTTCACACTGAAACATGACTTCTGGACATTTTCTTCCCCTTAATCCATTTCTGGGTCGTAGGGTGGCCGTCAGAGCTGCACCCAGTTCACATAGCAGCAGCTCCTCACTGATCCTCCTGCAGGTGCTGAGTCCACAGCAGACATCAGTGGGAATCGTGAAGTAGGTCTTGTGGTGAGCTCGAACCCACAACCTTCAGGCCCATAGGCCAGTGCTCTACCAACTGAGCCACTGTCACCCCAGATTATCGCGAGTTGTATAATCCAAAAGTGATAATCTGTATCATACCAAATGTAATCTCATTTCAAAAGTAGCTATGTTTAGCAGAATTTAATCCTAGACAAAATAATCCAAGTCCACAAAAATCTAATCTCTGAAAGGTTTCTAAACGCGACTAGACCAGACTCATTGAGAACGGCTTTGCTTCTTCTTCCACGATTATTGTCAATGAACAGAAGTTGCCGTTTCCTGTCCTTATCACTTCTCATCCAATCGCTCATTTCCACGCCCGGCAGACACAATCAGAGCCGTGTTGAAAAGTGATCGTTTGTTGGTAAGCACGCATAAAAAGGTTATGAATCGAAACTCCACAGCCTGAGTCTCTACAGGCCCCGACTTATTTGTGGTTCAACACCTTCATTAAATATGTCACAATAACCACTGTTCCTATCCGTGCTGCTGCTGCTACACTCGAGGGGGGCAAAAATATGTCAAACTAATCTCACAATTGCGTCATAATCAATCCGCAAACAGTGTTGACACATTTATTTTAGGCAGATTTGTTTTTGTTAGCTTGGAAAAGGGAAGGATGATGAAAATGTGCTGCAATATAAAGAAATGAACATGTATTTCGTCATCCGTACCATTGTAGGGTTGAATGAGACGCATATTTTGAAATGTATTTTTTCAGAGACTAGAAAAGGCTTACGATCGCCGCAAAAAAGATTTCAATTATGTTTGGGGTTTTGTTGAGAAAATACATCTACAATACCAATATTTCACCTAAAATGATCTATACCAGTGGCTGCTTCCTGCTCCCGTTTTCAATATATTCTTTACACTGTAGTCTACATGAAAAGAATGAGAGAAATACCCACGGTGAAAGATGAAAACTGATGTCGGGCCTTCAATTATGTCCGTAAATATGAACCATGCTTTGAAGTACATCTGTTTTCTTTGATTCAGAATGAAACTGTTTTTATGTTCTGAAGCTTATAATTGAGCCGAACCTTTAAACACATGACTGTATCAAGATAAACACATGTGAAAAGAGGAGAGAAGAGGATTTACAGAAGTCTAAATACACAGCATGAAGAGTCTTACATTCTTTGGTGTTGGCAGGTGCATTTTGGCAGGAGTGACACACCATCCCGTACAGGTTCCTGGCTCTATTCTCCAGCATGTAATACCTGTAATCATCCACACAGAAAGTCAGCAGGTTGATCCGAAAAGGTTTGTGTTTATGGCAAGGTGAGGTGTTAGTACTTTTGAATGCACTGGAAAACGGCAGCAGGTCCTAAGCAGCTCTGAAACACTTGTTGTTTCTGTGTTCATGGTTTTGCACTGGTCCAGACCAGAGCAGAGAGGATTCATGGTCCAAACCAAGTGGATCAGATAAAAATCCATTGCAGGAATGCTAACTTTTTGAACCATTCAGCCTCCACCCAGAGGCTACTCCACCTCTGCTGCTGTGACCCGTCCTGCTCCACCCAGAGGCTACTCCACCTCTGCTGCTGTGACCCGTCCTGCTCCACCCAGAGGCTACTCCACCTCTGCTGCTGTGACCTGAAGGGCTGTTGCTTATTATTATATTGTTAGCTTTTTTGAATGATCAATTTTATTTTTTTATTTTTGCTGTTACTGGACACCTGAATTTCTCCGACGGGGAACAATAAAGTATCTATCTATCTAGTAAATATTACGGATAGGATACAAAGAATCCACTTCTTATTCCTTGTGTTGAAATACTTTTGAATGAGTGTCTCCCAATGAATGGAAATGAGCTCATGGCTAAAATCCAACATGTTTCCATGCCTCTTTTTTCAATACCCGCCCCCAAAAGGTTGCCACATGCTGCTATTTTTGGTTGGACTGCCATTGATTACAGCACACATTTGCTATAGCGTTGCTTCAAAAGATTGCATTGTCAAAACATGCACAGTATTTCCACACAGTTTAGCATTAACTTTTCATTGGGATCTTGTTTTGATGATGGGAGAGTGTGACAACTGATGAATGCTAAAAGGTACGCATATCCATGAGTCTGGTTACACACAAAAATAACACAAAAATGTAGGAGGAAGCATCCTACATTACAGCAGTGAAGCCCCAATGTTTTATTTAGGCCTTCTTCACACAGGCTAAAATTTAACTATACAGCCAAAAGCCTCCTCAAGCTTCTGTGGTGACCAATTCATGAGCTCCTGAAAGCACTCAGAGAAGCAAATATCCTTCGGCATCTATACGCTCTATGACATAAATGTGTTTGCTTTTAGTTCAACAACGGCTACATAATAGACTCTCCCAGATCCCATCAATCTCAAACATGATATAAAAGTTCAGTAATGTAGCTCTTCAAATAACTATAATGTAATGAGCTCATGAAAGCGCCCATTCTAAATCTAACAGGAACTGTAAACGATATGAGGAGAGGTATTATGTCTATATCCAGAGAGCAGATTGGATGGCGCTCATTCAGGGTGAAAAGTTTGACTCTAAGATAATTACTGTCCTGAAGGCAAAAAACAGAGTGTGGTACACAGAGTCAAGTCTCCAAATGGTTTTAAGTGGTTTTTAAATCATTTTGAAAGATGAGGAGAATTTATATGGGTGATATAATGACAGCTATAGATATGTATAACGCTACAGCAACATGTCAGAGCTAATCAAGAGCTGGGTAACTAATAGGACTGTGACGATGTATCGATATCGTGATGTATCGTGATACTTTCTCACGCGACCGATTATCAATATGCTTTTGCCAAGAATCGATTTAAAAAAATTAAAATTAAAATTAGTGTCAATACTTAATATATGGCTACATTACGCATCTTCATTCCATTTATCATAAAATAAAGTATATTTTTTCACTTAACATTTTTCTTTTATTTATGCCAATATGTGCTGTGTTTGAATCCAGAGTTGAGGATTAGTTAAAAACTTACACTTATAACTATTCCGTGTTTATTCAGATTGCTTTACTAAAAGATTTCTATAACAGTTTATTTCTGACCAATATATCGATAATCGTCATATTATGATATAATCGTTATCGTGAGCTTTGTATCGTATCGTATCGTGAGGTACCCTCAGGTTCCCACCCCTAGTAACGAAATGAAGAATTTATAAAAATGTAAGGAAAACAAATGCTGCCTTGTATACTGTAATAATGTTTTGAGGATTTTGTTTGTTTTGCTAAACCAGAATTAGACCCTAAACATTTACGACATTTGGAATGAACGACATATGGACATATGGAGTAAATGGAATGCATTTACTTGATTATTTTTATTTCTATGTTAGAATAAGCTGTAAAAAATAAAGTCCCACTCAGAAGAGACATATGCTTATAACTTTTTCAGAGCTGTATACGGACCTACATGAGGAAAAACCTGCCTAGTTATCGTTTGCCAAAATACTGTACATACACAAAACATATATACATTGTTGGCCACATGAGCAAAAGAATTACGATAAAAACCAAACACAATGAGGAAAAGAATAACAAGATTTGAAACGTTTGACAATTAATCCAATAATTTTTTTTATTAAATTAGAGGGGCAAAGATGAATGACTCCACCCGTCACACATGTGCAACGGATAGAGAATAAATGAAAGAGGTTTAAATGAAATCAAACGAATTGCGTCGTGGGAAGGTGTGACGGAGATGAGACAGGACAACAAGATCTGGGAACATTTTGCGTATTCCGCGACGGCTCATGTTGTGGCAGTAATAGGGAAGAAAAGGATTAAGTACATTTTCAGCACAAAGGACAACAGCCTGCAATAAATTGAAGAAACAGGGTGGTCCAGTTTTGCACAGCCTGGGATTGTTTAATAAAATCAGGTTGGCAGATTTGAAAAACATTATATCATTAAACACCATTGTTGAAAAGTAAATTGTTGCCAGCGATGCTAGCTTGGCCTGAATTGAGCATTGTTTTGCCCAGCGCGAATACACACTAAAAAGCAAGCTCCCTGATTGGCTGACAGGTGCATCTGTGTCAACTGGACCATTATCAATGTTGGCTCAAATGTAACCACATGGTTCCAAGAGCAAAACATAGAACATATAATTATACATATTATTTGACAGTATTTTACATCCTCTCTTTGCCGTACTAATTAATATTCATCCACTCAATACTAAAACTGAGGTATCTAACTTTTTATTTATACATGTTGCTCTTTCCCCAACAGAAAGACTAAAAGTTTGGCGTGTCTTACTAGAAAACATGAAATCGTTCGCACTTCTGAATCACGATTGGACGTTTTGGGCTCAGAGCTGATTATCAGAGTGAGGCTGATTCTCAAGATGTGACCGAAATTATAAATATACAAGATAAAATGTTGGGAGTCGACCTCTTTTGAGAGCTGGGGATTTGTTAAATGGATTTTATTACATGTTTTTGTGGTTTCAGAATTAAGTACCCCATATAGGTAAGATGAGATTAATCAGTAAAAATTGATTTACTACTACTGTATATAGGTAATTGTGACAGTCCCAAGCCTGGATAGATACCTAGGGTAATGTAAAAGAAGATATTCACAGATGTAAAATTAATGTTACTAAAGACTATGCGACAATTGTTTTTACTGTATTCATAATTTGTAAATATCATATCCATAAAAGCAATTGGAGGAAAAACTTGCCAAATTTAACATGTTTTAATTACGAATTTAAAATGTATTTGTCTGATAAAACTGATAGAAACCAATCTGAAAGCTAAAATTGACCAGTCTGCTGAAAATCTACCACTGTGCTGAGACATTGAACAGTGTGTCTTTTTCATGATGTTTTTGTGCCTATATTGTGAATTTGTATTTTCATTAAAAACAACATTTTATTATTATTTCGTGAAGCCTTGCCTTGTGATTGGTTGTGATTGAAAAAAAAAAAAAAAAGTCAGTAGTAAGTAAACCTCTACATCAAATACTGCTCCCTCTTCCCCCACTCCTCACTTGTATTTAAGTATGTCTGTCTTACCCTGGCAAACACGCTCCACACTGTGCGTCACTCTCCGAGGTCCCTGCCACGAGCACCGTCGCCCTGTAGAGGGCGTCGCAGTCTTTGTGGCGCCGGCAGATCTCATACTTCCCTTTGGAGTATTTCCCCTGGGGACACGGCACACATGTGAAGTCGTCATCCTTCACACCGTAGCCACATGTCTGAAAAAACACACGGAACAGAAGCTTTGTTAGAGCAACGTAAAGGCACCAATGGTCCCACTATGTCGGCCATGAAATCAACTGCAGGTAAAAGGCAGGGCTGAAGAACAATCAGGACAATCAGGACAATCAGGACAATCAGGACAATCAGGACAATCAGAACAATCAGGACAATCAGGACAATCAGGAGGACAGAAAGCATGTTTGTAAATAAGTATTTTATTCGTCCTATAAATTTCAGTTTGGTGAATACACATTTACACATCAAGGCATGCAGCGAATGTTACTTCCGCTCTCCTTATAGGCTAGGTGGGCTAAGTGTCTTGCTCAAGGACAACAGTGGGAGTCGGTGGAGAAGGTCTCGCGATGGGACCCATGACCTTCAGGCTCAAAGGCCAATGCTCCTCCAATTGAGCAGAACTCATTCATCCTTTGCAGGGGTCAAGGCGTCAATCAACAATCTCAAACACACGTACGCACGCACACGCACACACTCACACACACACTCACACTCACACGCACACACACACACACACACACACACACACACACACACACACACACACACACACACAAACACTGATTTATCTCGCATTTCTTCTCTGCTTTCATCTGTCAATGGAAACAAGACTTTGCCACAATCAGCACCACTTTGGTCTAATCGTGCTTTTACCCCGACAGAAATCTAATATCCATCCGGAGAATTTTCAAGCTGATTGTTTTGATTAAAGAAGGGGTTTTAGCTATCAGAAAGATCTTGTCATTATCAATGAATGTTTGGCATTGCAGACCAAAGGGAAAGAGGTTACAGTATCGTCCCGCACATCTGTATCTTTGCAAATGGGAATAATTCATGAGGTCTTATTTTTCTTTAAGTTCAAGCGACAAATGGATAATCAACTGAACTTAATGTCATTGGAGATTTGGGCTGCTATGCCGTTATGACAGACTGCATCAGCCAAATATAACCAGTGTGTACTAATCCGAGCATGGGACTAAAGCAGTCAGACATATTTTCATATAAGCAATCAATATCAGACAGCAATGAGAACTGTTTTACGATGTCTTTTCTTGGCAAACATCAATAGCCAATGCTCGATGCACCCCATATGTTGTGTTTCTTCATGTGTGCGTATTACCCATGTGTGCTTACTGTTTACTGTGTGTACCAGGAGAATACAAAGGCAGCTGTTGCCACAATCTGGAACCAAGATGACTCTCTGTGTTGGTATAACAATGCAATGTCACGATGATCTGTGTGTGTGTGTGTGTGTGTGTAGGTGTGTGTGTGTGTGTGTGTGTGTGTGTCTGTGAGTGTGTGTGTGTGTGTGTGGGTGTGTGTGTGTGTGTGTGTGTGTGTGTGTGTGTGTGTGTGTGTGTGTGTGTGTGTGTGTGTGTGTGTGTGTGTGTGTGTGTGTGTGTGTGTGTGTGTGTGTGTGTGTGTGTCTGTGAGTGTGTGTGTCTGCTCACATCAAAACACCACTGTTCCCTTTAGTTATCTCATGATTAAAGTGACGACTCATTCATAAAGTCAAAGACACACTCTGCAGGAAAACCATCGGTCTCTGGATCAGATGGAGCAGGAGAAAGTGCATAAAGCTTCTCTTGATAAAGAGTCTTTCATCATGTCTGCAGAGAGCTTTTATGACTTAAACACATGGGCCACATTGTGCTCAAGCTATGAAGACCAGTAAATGTAATGAACATGATTTGTTTGTTAAATAGATACATATTAAAAAACATACCTGTGTGATCCACATTTAAACTGTGATAGCTACTGTATGTAAGAAGAGGGATTTTAAATAAGTTACAGACATTGATTGAATTCAATGTTTGAAGGTTTGAGTCTTCACACGCAATAAATGAGCACTTCTCTTATTATCCAGAGCGACTGAAGAATGCAAACACTAATCACCATGAGTAAAAATGGACTAACACAAAGGAGCCAAGCAAGAAGCACAAAGGGGGTGCCAAAAGAACCACTAAAGCTACTTTAGAAAGAGTGAAGTTAGTTGTTACTCACAGAATAAATGAAGGGATTCATTTTAGATTGCATTCCTTAAACATTTCCTTTTTGCTCTCTGTTTTACACTTTTCCATGTGCTGCTGCTTTTTCTGAGTGTGTGTCAACTGTAGACTATGCTATGTAGGCACTCGCAGGTATTCACCCTCCAGTCTGATCTCAAATGGCTGATGATGAAACAACCAACATAAAAAAAAAACAATCAAAGGTGAAGCTGCTTGACCTTAAAATAACTCATCTGTCATCAGGGTTTTTCATCAGATCCACGCATTCAGTGTTTATCACAGATGCAAGAATGTTTGTACTTGTCAAGAAGAAAACATAAACCAAAACCATGGGCTATAATAATTCATTTTGGTGCGTGTCTCTGTGCGGCGGGTGTGGCACCCCGGGGTGTCCACTGAAGCGTTTCTGTTTTCTTTGGCTGTCGGCAGACAGGCTGACGGGGACTACTGCTGCGGTGCGCTGTAATGCATACCTTCACATCCAAGTCAATGAGCGCAATAAAGCAGAAGAAATTGTGCATTTGGATCAACTTCACTTTGCACCAACTCATGGGCTCCGTGTGTGGTCCTGGGCTGTGGTCAGATGTATTCAATGTTTACAAGTAGTAATTTAGGACCATAGTTTCATTTTAGCACAAACAGAACAATTAAAAGAATCATAACCTCTATTTAATGCACTGGCATGATGTATTTGAAAACACTGAAACATATTTGTGGCTTAACAAAGACATATGTTTCTTATACAATTTTAGACATATGATAGCCATTGATTTTAAGTACAGCCCGTAACAAGCTCCATAATTAAAGCACCAGTGTTAAGTCTAACCAAACGGTGCCACAGAGAGTACTAGTCACACAGACTGAAAAGAGTTCTGAATATTTTAAGATTATGTCTCAAAATATGTTCAGAATTCAAAGTAACATTACAAAACAAATTTGGGTCTAATTTTATTGAAAAAACGTATCAGATAATGTCAGGGAACTTAAAACCAACGTATCAAAACCTGAATTGGTGCATCCCCTGATTGAAATACCTTCTTCCTGCTTTCATGGTTCAAAACTGCGTGTGCTACCCATGGGTCAAATATACCCACCACAGATTATTAAAAGTAGAAGAAAAATATCTAAATTAGGGTCTATAACGGTCTATAAGGGGCGACAATAGCTCAGTTGGTAGAGCCTTCAGGCCAGAAGGTCGTGGGTTCAATTCCCACCTCTACACCTTCTCCACCGACTCCCACTGATGACTGCTGTCGTTGTGTCCTTGGGCAAAACACTTGCCCAAAGCCCCCACTGAAAGATCAAGGCTATGCTCACACTCAGAGAGCAGCCGTCCTCCTGTGGACTCACCACCTGCAGAGGGTCAGTGAGGGGCTGGTGCTATGAGACTTGGGTGGCATCTCTGATTGCCACCCCCCTGACCCAGAAATGGATTAAAGGGAAGAAAATGGATGGATGGATGGGTCTATAAGGGTAAAAATGACTCAGGGCCGGTCAAGGTAGGAAATACCATCAAAATTCAACTTAAAACGTTTAATTTAGGGCATTTTTTAATCACTATGGCTGGTACATTTGACCAGAGGATAGCATAATAAGTTCATAAATAAATGCATATTCTGTGGTACTGCACTAGTTCACACTGTACTGTCCCATTTTGAGATGATACTAATGAGCACATAAATAGAGTATTATGAACTGCATGGTTGAGCTCACCATATGCGGCTCCTGTCCCGGCTGGCACTGCGGACACGCCTGGCAGCTGTTACTGGTCTGGTTGAAGAACTCGTACTCTCCACAGCTCGAGTACTCAGCGCTGGCGAACATACAGCACACCTGCAGCAGAGATGGTGGTCAGGTGGTGAGGGCCAGGCGGTGGAAATGAGGCGAAACACGATAGCTTTATGAAGAGGGCGTAGCAGTCAATCAAAGTTTCAGCACAAAAGACGATTTATGGGTATTGTGGGTTTTATGCTGAAATGTATGCTCTAGATGGATCGTGAGGGTAGTTTTAATTTCAATATGATCCGTGGTGTTTTCAATCTCCATATGGAACCTTCATTGTGAGATCAATAAAGTATATCTCATCATGCAGTTAAACAAAACAGAAGCACGATATCAGTTTAGTTGTTCTATCTCATTTCAAAAGAGTTCCCACTGAAGTGGTGTTTTCAGGAGTCATGAAACCAAAGTCTGCTTAAATTCCAAGTAAAAACATGTATTTTGATCAATTCAAGATGGATAAGGGAAATACCAAGCTTTTTTTAGACAGTTTTTCAGACAGATTCATCATGTCTTCATGGAGACAGACAGGTAGGAAGGAATAGTTGAGAAGAACATAGTGTACCACCAAAGACAAACACATAAAAAAGAGAAAAAAAATATTGCTAGTAGTGACGTCAGTAAAAGTAGCATTACCATTGTTTTTAGAATCTGAAAAAATATCAAATTTGAACTAATTTAATGTATTCTTGCTCACATTAAATTAGTTTTGAGAGGTGGCTAAGTGGTGAGAACTCCCTCTCCTCAGCAAGAAAGTCATGGGTTCTAATCCCAATCAGAACAGGCCCTTTCTGAGTGGAGTTTACATGTTCTCACCATGTCTGCGTAGGTTTCCTCCGGGTGCTCCGGTTTACCCTACCACTAAAAATATCTACAATAGCTATGAATGTAATGAGTGAATGGATGTTGTTGGTTTGGGGGCTTTGTTCCGCCAGTGTGTTCGGCGACTCTCTCCTGTCTTCACCAAAAAAATTGAAAAATATAATTGTAAAGCGCTTTGGGTGACCTTGGTCTGTAAAAATGTGCTATATGAAAAAAGATTAATACTTACTTACACTGTTGAATATCATCCTAGTTTGTTTTTGTAGTAAGAGTTTAGGTAATACTGTATAAATTGTGCTTTTGCTTAAACTTGCATGCAACACTGCAAATCTAGTTACCTGTCCTACTATAAACTCTTGTACATGTGTCTGCTCCCAGCTCGTGTGTCGGCCTGCTTCTGCACATGGTGACTGATGTGGGAGTGCTGCCAATGGGGCTTCAACATTAAAACATGCACAGGATCCCCAAACTCTCAGATTAATCACAGACTCTATACATAACCTATACATAGCCTATACATAAACATAAAGACTCAATGGCTGACTAATTGGTACAAGCACAGCCGGGTTATGCAAGCTCCTGGCACCGAATGCTTGAAGTCAGGTTGGACGATGCCAAAAATGACAGATAAAGTTGTGGTAGCAAAGCACACGGTGGACCTGGATTGTTGGAAGGCAATGAAGAGCTTACCTTAAAGGGCCCATATCACGGTTTTTGACTTTTCTCTGCTTTAAACATGATTACAATGCTATTTGGCCTTCATACACAAGCCCACAGTAGTTTATTCATTGATTCTGTCAATCTTTTGTAAGAGAACAATCTGTCTCCTTCCCCAGCGTGAGGCACAGAAACGCTCGGGTCCACTTCAGTGACGAAAACCACACTGATGACGCGCATGACCCCGTTTGCTTTGTATTTAAAATAGTTGTTAAATACTTTTGTCAAAAGGGGGTAAACAATACACAATTAGTATGCTGTTTTTTGTCAAAAATAATACAAATAAAAATAAATTAAAAGCCGGCGGGAGGTGATTGACGGATCAAAACAGCGAATCAGAGCGCACAGGCTCCGGCTCCCGAGTCCAGCGTCTGTGGTCTGGTCTCGCGGACACCACATAGAGCTGCTGTTTTTATGCTTTTGTCAGCAACTAAAAGTGTTAGGATCACGTCAACTTGAATGAAGTGTGTTATGGGTGTAAATATGTGACACACTATTTGGCCCGAAGAGGAAGAAAGCGGCTCAACTTTTTTCATCTGTTCATCTCATGGATCTATTATAATACCGGTTCATCTGCGACACTTCACTGAGACTGTTCCAGAACTACAGGGACAATGGAACTGGACTTACTCAAAAGCTGATCTGGAAACACGTTATTCCCACGGTAAAAGACGTAACTCGGACCCCCTCGATCTGTGAGTAGTGACGCTAACTCACTGTATACTTCTGTAAACTAAATAACTAGGGTCTGATTGTGCATCGAGGACATAGGGCTCGATGTGACGGATTGTCATTGTTGGAAAAAGTTTATTCTTATGTATGAAATTACTAAGTACAGGTGATAAACGACAAAAGCGTGATGCTACGTCACCGTGCGGGCAGGGGGAGGCGGGCTCACAGGGAGGAGCAGACTCTGGATCAGCTCGTTTGAGTCGAGGTGACGTCACCTCTATACAAGAGATGGCTCTAATGTCACAAGCTTTGATTGTTGTGTGGTGTATCATACACATTAATATCACACTTGTGTATAGGATTGAGTGTGAAACATGAAGAAAAGCGTGATATAGGACCTTTAACTCTTACTTCACAGAACGGCTTGTAGCAGTTTTAAAGGTTCAATAAAGTGGTCGCAGTTCTCATAATTGTTGATGTAGAAGTTTCATCATTAGCATAGGAATTATTTGATATCAACATTGAGTATGGATGCATGTATTGGTTCTATACTATCAATGAAAACGATACTTGTATTCTCAATAGATACAATACAACTTTTTAGTGTCTGTTATAATCCCATCTCTCAAAAAAAGTTGTTGCACCTGTTTTTTAAATGATATGGGTGCATATTTTAAGTGTATTTTATGCTGCTGTTCCATTTTCAGCAAAATCCTATAGAAATGACGTTAACTTAAACCCAGCTACATAAACAGACTCTTAAACAGATGTACACATTATCATTTTAATCAGTAAAAACATCTCTTTTTCTGCTGAGACTAAACATTTTTTTTTACAGATACTGCAGCTTTAATGCAGGGGTCTCCAACCTGTGGCTTAGGAGCTACCAGTAGCTCGCCAGCCCCTTTCAGGTAGCTCGCCAAAGGATTTAGTATTTAACAAATGATCTTGAATTAATATATTTTGAGTCGTTACATATCTATAAGTATAAATATTGTGTTATACAGAATCATGGTATGTGTTCTCCATGTTTTGGCGTTATTATTAGATAGATTTTTATTATGACTACGATAACGAGTAGCTCTCTGCCTCTTATTTTGTATAAAGGTTGGAGACCCCTGCTTTAGAGATACAAATAGTAAAAACTAGAGTAGGCGAAAAATGACTAGATATATAGAGCAACAGTATTGTTTAGTAAAAGCATCAGTTAGCAGTTAGATAGCAGAAGTTAGTATTACTAGTAGACCCAACACGATAGCAGTAGTAGTTATTTTAGTAGTAGTGAGTACTCTATGGTAGTGGTAGCAGTACTTTACCAATACGTACCAATAATGAGGACAGGAAGACAGACTTTTTCCGGCCCCTCCTCTCTGACATGTTTGCGTCTTCTTCCTTTTGAACACAAACAAACAGTTATTCATTCATTCGCTCCTGTGAGAAATTTGCACAAGTTTAAATCTTTCCAACCACATAAAAATTACGAAATGCATTCCTGCCGACAGTAGTGCTGCAGCTGTGAGCGTGTGTGGCCTTGATGCCTTCACTGCCCCCGTTAAAAATCACGTCATCCACAATAAAGCTGTTATAGTCTGTGCTCACCTTTGCCTCAATAATGCACCCTGATACCAGCAGCTAATGACGTTTAATTATAATGTCTTTGTTAGAGCTGTCTGTTGCGGCGCTCAGGTCAAACTACATGTCAGTCACTCTGTCAAGGACGGAACTATTGGTTTTTTATTATGTGTTTACTTTCCGTGTATCACTTTGCACACATAAAAAAATCGAAATAATACTAGGAATAAGAGTGTTGTAGTAGGAATTAGTAATTGAGGTTGCAGCAGCTTCTCATCAGTTCTGAATGCAGTCCTTAATCATGTAGTATAGTGCATATGAATGTAATACAGTTATAATAATAATGCATCGGTTTTATATATCGCTTTTTTGGACACTCAAAGACACTTCACTTCATACACAGTGGTGATAAACTACTACTTCAGAAGCCACAGCTGCCCTGGGGCACACTGTCAGAAGCGAGGCAACCAGCCGCTCGGACCACCACCACCACCGCCCGCCAGACTCATTCTAGGCAATGTGGGTGAAGTGTCTTGCCTAAGGACACACTGTGGCACCTGGTGTTCCCAGAGGTTAAGTGTCTTGCCCAAGGACACAACGGCAACAGACATCAGTGGGAGTCGGTGGAGAAAGTCTTGTGGTCGGCTCGAACCTACAACCTTCAAGCTCAAAGGCCAATGCTCTACCAACTGAGCTACTGTCGCCCCATGTTACCGACTACTAAAGTATAAAAACCTGCCTGTGTGCATGGGTTTTAAAAGGGTGATGAATGTGAACCATAGCTTTTCACAAATCAAATCAAATATCAGGCTTGTTCATTGGAAGAAAAGGTTGTATTGTGATGTGTATTAAGATAATTGATCATTAACGTGTGTGGTAAATGGTAGCGGACGCATATCCTTCACAGCAATAAGGTCCTGGGTTCGAATCCACCTCCAAGCTTTCCTGTGTGGAGTTGGCATGTTCTCTCTGTGGGTTTCCTCTGTGTGCTCCAATTGCACAAATCTGCTTCGTGAGAGCTTGGTCCGTGAAATGCGCTTTATAAATTAATATTACCTACATACTCTGCTCTAAGAAATTCCCTTCCACAAAAAAGGTTTTCATACGTTTTGAAATAATCTTGTCTCTTCATTGAATTATTTGTGTGGTTGTTGGGTAAACAATTCTAAAATTATAGTGTATATCGTTTGCCATAGCAACCACCCAGAAATATTCACCTTCTCACTTCTAAATAGCAACTTAACAACTTTGGCAAGAAATCTGAAAGGGTGTTAAGCCATAAACTCTTTGGCAGCTCACAATCATAAAAGGCGTGTGCTTGGAGATATTTTTATTGTTGGCAAACTGAAAGATGACTATTCAATGGATTGAAGGTGTCTTTGACTTCAACACTGGGGTGAGTGTAGCCACATGGACGCTGCGTTGGCTGCAGTGAGGTTGTGCAGCTCTTAGCCGTGATTGTGTTTACCTTGACCAAAGCAAGAGTCTAAATAATGTCGTCATTGTAAGCGGAAGGAAAGGCACTGGTTTGCTGCTCATTCTAAGCCACAGAAGTTGTTTAAAGCTTTTGCAATTTCATCAAGAAAACAGGATAAAAAGTAACTCGAAAAAGCATGTGCATAGGCGAGATGACAACTTCATGACTGCAACTAAACTACTATAACGATTTAATACAATAATATGCACATCTTATGTTCTTACTAAGGACCCACTACTAAAACAGTTGCCCCCTTTTCCTTTTTTACGTTATAAAACTATCAGAACTCCAGATTGAAATGAGGAAAAATGTCAAAATTCATTGGAAAAAAACAACGTAATCTGTAATGTATCCTATTGACTTTTTATTTATTTAACACTTATTTCTGCTCAAACTCTGTATAACCACATTTCATTGCTACTAAAACCAAAACACATTAATCTAATTGTGTAGTAAGCCATAAATGATGAATAGTTTCAGTTTGGTTGCCTCCTCGGGTTTGCATGCCATGAGGAATTTCAAACCACTTTTCATACTTGAATAATGTCGCTTACTTTGACAAAACTATACTTCAGTGCGTTTGTCGAGTTTTTAGCATAGAGTCATGGACTAAAGCTGAACAGTGTGAGCTCAGAAATGCACCTCAGTCACACACAGTTGTAAATGTAAACACACACACACACTGATAATCACTGTTATCTAGAGCATTTCTGACTGAGACGCTTTGACAACTAATTACAGCTGAGGATAGAGTAGATCAATATCAACCAAAAAGATAATTAAGTGTAAGCCTAAAAGGTTTCAAATGTGTTGGTGAAACAAGATGGATTCAAAACGATGAGAATATATCATAAAGAATATAGTTGGGTCTTAAAGGTCCAGAAAATATTTGTATCTACAAATGTTGACCCAAGTTAACTAGGACACATGTTTAACCAGAACTGTACTATTACTGAACTAGGCCTGGTTGGCTCTATATAAAATATTCTGTATTTGTTTTTTGGAGTGAAAACGGCAGCGCCTCACCAAACACTCACACATACATTAGACAATAGACAATGTGGGTGAAGTGTCTTGCTTAAAGACAGTTTAGCACTTTACAGCCTCAGCCACTCCTTCCGTCTTCCATCATGTACTGACTCGGCCCTCTCCTGCTTAGCCCAATAGCTTTACATTATCTGAGACCCCCAAGGAACGAGTCACTAATGGTGCATATGAAGCTAAACTAAAATCTTAAATTGTTTGGGCCTATCAAAGCACAAGGACAGGAAGAAACCGCTGCCATAATTTGACCTATCAGAGGTCAAAATCTGTCTCCTGATTCCACTCTTCCATCAAGCGCTTCTGAACTTGAATGAATAGCCCCAATCCCTCAAGGCTCAATCCTGTTTAATTATAGCTTTCACACAAGAGACACAGACACAAACACAAGGAACTACAAACACTCATTTAGCTGGAGCAGTTCTTTGAAGACCTCAGCACAAGGACAATGTTATATTTAAAGCTGCTCTGTGAAGGATTTTGGAAGAAGGTCCATTATTTGCATTTCTCATGAAAACCCTGCCTCGATAGTTCCACATGTACATTTTTCTTTTTTTTAACACATACATACACAGGTTGAGTGCACAGATAACATAGGAAAGTTCATTCATCCTGTAAGCGAGATTATTATTTTTCTTGTCAGGAAATATAGCTGTGCCAAATGTGGTGTGGACCCTCTGGGCGACTCATTATGGCGTTAAAGTGAATCTTCTACGACAGCGGGCGTTTGAAGAGGCCTGTGTCTCTGCGAGTCTTTCAAGCTCCGTCTGTCTCCAGACCCCACCTCTCTCTGTCGGGGCAGGTCTCAGATGAAAGTCTCTGCCCCTCCAGGGTAATAATCTTCTAACGAACACATAATCTACGATAAATAACTTCTCTGTCTCTGTAGCTGTGTCATTATTGACTGATGCTAAGAGCAACAAATGTGAAAAAGAAAGGACTTTAATGTACTTTTAAATCTCATTAGATTTCAATTCATGCACATTTCCCTGTGCAGCATGTGACATTTATCTGCACCTTTCTATTTAATGTTGTATTGGAATATTAGAAAAAAAAAAATAACACCTCCACGATTACACTTGAAGTTCCAAAGTGCACAACAGAAATGAAGCAGTAGCTCTGGACATGTTCATTCTGTGGTTTAAATGTTGTCTCGTCTTTCTAGCTTATGAAACTGAGTGAACATAATAATATACAATATCAATAATCCTTTATATATGACGTATAAAAGTAATAGTTAATATCATTGTATTGTTTTTCAAAGGCAATAAATAAAATACAATTCAAACCACCGAGGAGCCAACACTTCATCTTCTTCCTTTTCATCTGACAATAACACATTGAAATTCACAATCTTTTCCAACATGACATTCCAGGAGTCCATTTTAAAAACATGGATCAAAAACTACCGACATCTTCCGTCAGTATCTTGGCTCAAATTATTTAAATTCTTGAATTGGTCTGAATCCAAATGCAAGCTTCAAAGCCCTGTTCGTTGGTTTGGATTAGACAACGCTTCAAAACTGAGGAGAAAAATGGTGTAGATTAAGTTAAATGTCACACAGACCCTGTAGGTAGAAGAGGGATCAGGAGGGAAATGGAAAATTCCGATTGAACCTTTTAAGAATCCAGTGTCAGCTTCTTGATGGCAGGGTGCTGTCAATTAAAGTTTCAGTACAGAGCATGTTCATCACTCCACCAACAGGGGGCGTTGTAACTGTTTCTGTGTGTGTGTGTGTGTGTGTGGGAGGTATTGCACAAAAACTACACGATAAATGAGCATCAATATCATGGTGGGATTTCAAGATGATCCCACAATCTTTTTTATTCTGTCCTTAAGAAAATTATAATAATAATAATAATAATACAGATAAGTGAACTAACTAATTCAAAAAGGTTCATTTTCTAGAGTTCAAGAGTTAAAAATGCTTTTTTTTGGTTCATTTGAAAGACAAGTTTAGGTCTTTCAAAGAACCAAAAAGAACCAAAAAAGCAAACTAACAAACTAATGTCACCAAGACACAAATAAATGCGATGTCTGTATTGTATCTGCTGTTTTGAAGAGCGGAAAGTGGGGATGTCGTTCAGAAGTCAAAATGTCACAATAAAAAAATAATTTGTATTTTCATTCTTCATTGACTTTTAGATCTAAATTTAAAGTAGATTATCTGATTCTATGTTGTGAACTTTAAGCATATTATTTGTTATTTGTTATTAAATCGCTTTGCTGCAAAAGGATTTCAAATGTTGAATCAAGTAAACAGACATTCTTTAATTTAGTACGTATTGTCGGTCTTAAAAC